CACCCATGAAACGTAAACTGTTTTTGTAAACAGGGCACGAGCTCTGTTATTGTTAATGTTTACGATTCACCGAGTGTGTTCAATTGTTGAACTCTGCACACACCACTGAGCACGGACTTCAATACTGTGAGTGGGTTTTGCTTTCGAACATTTCTACTCTGAATTTTCTGCGTTATAGTTTTAATATTTTTCATAAATACACAACAAAATTGCCACTTTTATTATGTATTAAGAATAAAATTAAAATATGTGAAAGTGCAAGGATGTGTCAATCCAACACGTCCAGAAATTCGGAGTTTTAATAACTTCAAGATGAAAGAAGATTTTTATTATATTTTAGTATGAAATGCTATATCAACATACAAGTTATGAAATTATACAGAATTTTGAGAAAATATTAACTTCAAATCTGTGTCCATGCAAGCACCTTTAAGTTATTTTGTGTCATTCCCCCTAACTCCACACCACATGCACCAAAGGTTTTTGCTCATGCACAAGACAAAAACAAATGTTTAGTTAAATTTAAACCTTGCTCAATCCAGAAAAATTGTTCAAATTAAAGTCTTGGGAAAAAATGTTTATTTAATGATAAAGACTTGACCAAAACAATGTATATAACACCTCAAATTAAGAAGTAAAATGCTGTTTATCTCCCCCTCCTCACCAATTCTTCACTGGAGTCTGTGCACTGCATCTTGTATTACATAATGGAATTCCAAAATACAATACATTTTGGCAGGAAATATGAAACCCCCAAGAAATCAATGTCCAAGTAGGATATAAAAGTAAATTATCATTAAAAAAAATTGTGTGTGTAAACATGGTAAAATAACTTATACATTCAAGTTATTTTTCTATTATAACCTGTTTGCATTATGCCCCTGACTGTTTAGTTTCTAGAAAAAAAAACACCACAATTTATCAAAATAAATTAACGTAAAATGTCTTAAAAATGCAGGGTGGCTACAACAAAATTTGATTTTGTTTACTTTCATGGGCAAGACTTGTCCAAACCATTAAAATGCATATATTTTGTATTTTTGTATTTATTCAGAATGTATTCAATAAATCAACTGCAGGTGTGTTTACTTAGCCATTTTCAAAATTGCATAAGTATAGCGATGCTTGGACATAGAAAATATGATGATATGAAATGTGAAGGTACATATTGTCGTTCTGTACATATTGTCGTCAGCAACAATATGTTACAGTACTAACCCTCACTGCACATATTGTAGACAAGCTATAACATTTTATGTTCTTATAGTATACAAGGTCTTTTAGTTAGCCTTTTTTTTTACGCATATGCATATGCATTTTTTTTAAGTAGTTTGTTCTTCATTTTCTATGCTTATGTGTATTTTAATAGGGCTGGGACGATACAACTTTTTCTATATCGATACGTATCCCGATATTTGAGCCACGATACGATATGTATCACGATATGTTTAATTGGTGATAAATTCTTTTTTTATATTGAAATGAACAAGATATTTCTTCACAAATACGAATAATTTATTCAAAGAAGTTGTATATCTGTTGTAAAACTTAATTATTTTGATCTTAATTATTATGTATTTCATATTCATATTTATATTAAGCATATTCATTTTACATATTAAACCCAAAATGTTTAGTTAACAAAGAAAAACATTAGTCAGAATTTTTTTGGAAATATGTCGATATTTCTTCAGACGTATCGATATGCGTATCATCCTCACATTGAATCGATATTATCGATATCTCGATATATCGTCCCAGCCCTATATTTTAATGTTAAGCGCACTAGAGTGTCTTTATTATAATGTGCTATATAAATTATTGTATTGTATTGGTGTTTGTTTTGACGAATATTTACTAGGGTAATGAAGAGAAAGAGAGACTGACAAACTCACATATGCACGGAGGGAGACAGACAGACAGTCAGACTCGCAATACTGTACAAGCCCACTTCCAAGGGAAGATAATCAAGAAAAGGCAAAAACAGGGTAGAGTCATTAAAAAATCTTCTCAAAGAACACTGGACCAGAAAAGATAACATTTTGGTGAATGCTTTCTGAAGTAGTGTGGATTCTAATGTTAGTTCTAAAGTGTTCAGATCATAGTCCCTGTGGGTAGGGTGGGGGCATCAAAGGAATCAAAGTTTTACAGTGAAATATATAAGAAAAAAATTTTATAATTGTCTTTTCAAGAACCACCTGATCAAAAAAAATGAAACTTAGGAAGCTTACTTAGGTAGTCTAGGTTGTAAATACCGTAAATCTGGATATTTTTACTGTAGATAAATTTTTAGCAAATTTGCGCGTGCATTGCATTCGCAAAAATACTTTGCTTAAAAATAAATCAACAACAAAAAATGTAAACCAAAATTTTGCTGACAGCTGGTGTCTATTTTTAACCCAGTGAACAGGTATTCGTAAGCAGTGGTCGTTTTAAGAAATCTGTTTGTACTACAAGCTAGTTACCCATGATAATCCTTGTCTTAACTACATTCAATATCGTCAGATGGTTTGACAGGCAGTGTCTTTTTTAATTATTTCTCCAAGAAAGAGAGGCCAGTTGTTTTATCTAACAATGATTCCCTAGCACGACTGATTGTTAACGAAGAACTTACTCTCGTGTATAATGAAACCCCGATGAAAGAAAGGAGATTGTATGTACATGCATAATTCACTGTATGCATTTACGCAACTTATAAATTGTTATAAACATTTTAAGCGCTTTTCTTAATTTTTAGCACCAATGACAATTTGCAAAATTTTAAAACGTAAAAATTAATCAACACCTTTTTGACCCAGATTCGCAAAAATAAATCGACGTAAAAATTTCCAGATTTATGGTAGTTCAGATCATGGTTGTCAGGGGTAGGGTGGGCCAAAGTAGGGATTACATAGGAAAATATTTTTAAAACTCCTCTTCTTAAGAACAACAAAGTATTTTGAGAAAAGTGAAAGCTTCCTCTGTGAGAGTAGATCAATTTTTGTTCAAATCATGGCACCTGTGTTTAAAGGACACATGACACAAAAAATATTTTGTCTGCATTCAATGTATTTATCATTCTTAAGTCAGATTCTCACACTGAATCTGTTAAACAAGCATCAGATAACAACGCACAGCTGGATAAAGTAATCTATAAATACTAGCCGAAGCAGTTCTCCGAGCAATGCCGACAGTTAATGAGATAAGCGTCACGTGGGTGTTTTATACGTCAGAGGTGAGCTTCTTGCAAATTCTCACTGTATCTTATTCAAAACAATGGAAGGAGATTCGTCAGATGGATTTTCTGTTGCACCAGAAGAAATTAGACCCTATAATTTAGAGCCTTTATTAGACAACACTCAAGGCAGAAATGGAAGTGAATCTGAAGATTCAGAGGACAGTGATTTGGGGTTAAATCGGATGAGGAAAATGCAGTAGGAGGAATTGCTACCCGAAGACAGAATTTAGCATGGTATGAAAACAAAACAAATATTTGCCTAGTTTTAGCTTATAATTTAGATGTGACAACATATGTTTACACTTTCATTATTAGCATTATCAATACAAATATTTAATATATGAAGAATAAATATAATAATTTGATTTATTCATATTATAAGGTGTGTCTGTCAAAGGTGCCAAGTAATGGAAACTGATGAAGAATGTTTATGCTGTCATGAAATTGCACCCATTTTAGAAAAAATAGAAGCTAAACATTTAAAGTGCATCACGGAACATGATGGGTTTCAGGGAAATTGTCTAAATATTGATGTCCTGGAAGTCTCCATGTATGAGTTTATAGACACGGATGGGCCCCTTGATGACAACGAACCAACTCACCAGTAAGATAATCTACACAGACAACTTTTTATATTTAAGCATATTAAAGCTGTTTTTCCTTCAAATGAATTTATATATAAAACATTTTCTTCATGGTTCATTTTATATTACAGATTATACAGATACTTAGCATACAGGCGATTTACTCGTTGGATCTGGCATATCCTTGGAAAAAGGAGACGAAAAATTATCCCAGCTTGTGTGGTATCCAAAATCAGACAGACATTTCCATCAGAGTCTTATGCCAGTTTCAAATATCCACGTTTATGAATTGATATAAATTCCATATTGAATTAATCTTGTATTAAATACAAAACATTTAAAATTCATTCCATCAAAATTTATCTATTATATCTAGATGTCCTCCTGTTAATCAGTTCATTTTTGTCAAAGTCTTCATAATCATGCGTCATTGGACGTGGTTCATCTGCTTTATGGCCAAACACAAAATCATCATAGGCAAATTTTAAGGAAGGATAGTGCCGTCTTCTAACAAAAATCTTTTCCAGCAAATTTCCAACATATTCTGTGCAATCAAGAGAAAATAAGAATGAAGATCTTGGAAGGAAATCAAATAAGTGATTTTGGATGATTACGTTATATATTCAGTGCATATATTAAGATTATTTTAAGATTATACTAGCTTTTGTTAGTCATTTCTGTTACTTACCAAAGGTTGCACTCTTCGAGGTTTTACTACACATTCCTGTCCTTTCTTTGCCTTTGGGTATGATACACTCCACTGTAGTTCACCCTCTCTTGTTAATGACTGACGTCTTGTTCCATTTTCATTGTAATGAAATGCAGCAATACACAACCTGTTGAAAATGAATAATAAATAAATGTTCTAAGGATTTTTTTATTTATATTAAGAAGTATACAGAAATTAAAAAAAAAAAGAAATGCTACAAACCTTGCATGCATTGGCATGTAAAAGAAGTGCGTAATCCTTGGTGCAAAATGGTTCACCACAGAGTGAAAAACTTCAAGCCCATATGTCTGGTAAACAGGTGACAATTTTGGAAGATCTCAAAGAAGATAGGGACTCTCCACGACATCTTTAACCATCTTGTGGCATCTAGAGCCTAGAATGAAAAAAAACTGTTAACATTTGTGAGATGCTATAAAATCAAACAAAAATAAGTTTTAGTTGGATAATGACCTTGCTGCATCCAGTCTCTAGGTTCACCTAACTGGCCATGTTCACATTTTGGAAAGACCTCAGAATCATGTTCATGGACATTGATAAGATGGTTGCTTTAGGATTTCCATTTGTCAGTCTTCATTTGCCCATTGTTTCCACTTGATGCTGCAACCCAGTATGTGTGGTTGACGATACTTTTAATCCAAGGACGGATTTGGCCAGCACCACGCTTTTTTGCAGCTGTCTCTAGTTTTCTTGATATTCCTTAAATATTTGCCATCAAGTGATTTACTACAGGCTAAAGTTATCATATTTTTATCATTGAAACAATAACAAAAATCTAAATTACCCTTTGCTACGTGCCACACATCAAAATAGTGATTGATATTGGGTTTTTCAGTCTTCATGTATGACTTTATCATTACATGGCGATCTGTCACAAGATCATGCACCTGGACACGATTTAATTCCGTTAGGTGCCTTAGTCCACGTTTAAGTCCTTCTAACTCCATATGGGTAGATCCTCTCACCTCGTTACTCTGAAAATAGACAAAGGAAGTTCAAATAAAAAACTACAAAAAATAGCTTTTGTAAAAGGAATTTCAATTTCCTTATCTTATTCTACCTGGACCAACTGTACATCAATGATTTTATTAGTTTCAAGGTCCATCAGTGAGTAACTACAGTATTTTGCACTGTAACCAGGTGAATCACATCTTCCATCACCTCCAAGAACAACATGAGGTTTCTCTGTTGAAAAAGTACATATAGTGTTATACATATAGTTATTACGTATATGTGAAATGAAATAAAAGCTCTATTAGTTACACGCAAATTTATGTATTTATTACTTACGGCGCAAATCATCAAAATATTCTGCTTGCTGTAAATAGAATTCTTCTATGACAGCAGGAATACTATAACAGGACTGAAGACGGGAAATAGTGTGGGAACTTGGGACTAAAACTTTCAAATGGTTGAAAAGCATTAAAACTTTTGATATGCTGTTCCCACTTAAAAGCATTGCACTTGCAAGATGTAAATTAAACCATGGCATTTTCTTATGTGTTGACTGTGACTGCCATCTGTTGATGTGACCATTTTCACATGTAGGAACTGTAGATATCATGGAACCTTTGCTGTATTCTACAAGTGGGACACTTTTCCCATTACAAGCATTACAGACAGATAAAAGTTGAGAGAGTGCACTTTCTGACACAACATAATATTTCTCTTCTGATGGATTATCTGTTTCATCTAATCTGTAATTACAAGTCTCCTCTTCATCTGATTCCTCATCTAATTCTGAATCTTCAAAATCGCTTGCATTGAAATCAGAGTCTACATCTCTGTTATCATAATCTTCATCAGAACTTAATTCATCATGTTCATTAGTCTCCATATACTCATCAATGTTGATGTTGTCTTCTTGACTATTTGTATTTTCTTCTAGTGCAGTAGGCTGTCTGCACTTACTAATGCAGTACTGAAATTCACTGCACTGAATTTCAGCATCAACTGTCTTGAAACCTATTTTTTAAATTTTTTGATTTTCCTGTTTGTATTCTTCTTGTTTTTGTTTTGACTTTAATGTCAGGAATAAACACCTGGATGGCTTTGTCAACTGATAATGTCTCACATTCTGCAGAAACATTACTCAAAGATGAAGGGGTTACTGGTTGAGTTTCAGAAACATCTGCATCTACTTTTACATTCTCTTCTGCATTATTATCATCACTGTCATCACTTTCTATCATAGCCTCTTTTAATACCTGTTTTTTAAAATTTACAAAGTCATTGATGAATAAAAAATACTTAATGTAGAATATACATAAAAATCATGTTTTAAACTTTGGCATAAACATTTGTAGACCGAGGATGCCCCCCCCCCCCCCTCTTCCCCAGGCTCTGCTAATTTGTATATAATTTTAAACAATTTAGGTCAATATAAAGAAATCAACAAAATTGTGTACATGTGTAATGAATGAACATCATGGCATTTTTAACCATTTATTTATGTAAATGTAATGTCACATAAATAATTATATACATTTATAATGTAATAAATATCCCATGCCATAACATAGATTATAAATATAAGAAATCTTTCTATTCTTTTGTCACAGTTCTCTCTGGCCTTTCCCTCTCCTTTTTAAAACTTAAATCCCAACGCATAATTAGATTAATAAAAAGGCCTACTTGCAACATATATAAGTTATAATAATATTTTTTTTAAAAATTAAGTAATAAGTATTTTCTTTTTACCTCAAGTCTTTGTCGCTTTCTAAATGCACCAAATCCCGATGGTTTTCTCTCAGTGCTTGATGAAGTTGAACATTCGTCTTGGGTAGGCCACTCAACATCAGGTACAGCATCATCTTTTAACTGAGCACGAGCATTTGGATAACCTAATTCAGCTAACCGGGGTGGATAGCGAGAATATTGATCTGGCGTAAAGTGTTTCTCACATATTTTACTGTATTTTGTTAATTTAAGGTCTCTTCTACGACAGTAATGTACCCATGCCTTTTGAAGACCTGCATCTTTTGGGAAGCGAAAAAATGATACATTTTTGTCCACTTTTGAGGAGCTTGAACAATTATAAACAGCACAATACGGCATCCTTACAGACTATGAATAACTCTTTAGACACAAAGAAATATAATTGTACAAGTTCTTTATTTATGACTTAGCCTTTAACCCATTACTGGCAATTAAGGAAACTATTTGTCTTTGATCAATGATAAGAAAGATTTATAGTATCTCTTCGGTTGAAACATTTAGCATATCTGTGCTGAAGCTGATCTCTGACGTCACCCCGACTGTTTCCGATCTCTGGGCTTTAAAATATGCATATTGAGGTCAAGCCGCTTATCAGCACTGTGTTACAGCACTAGCTGTGAAACAGATGCTTGTTTAACAGCTTCAGTGTTAGAATCTGACTAAAGGATGATTAAGACATTGAATGCAGACAAAATATTTTTTGTGTCATGTGTCCTTTAAGTGAGGTCACAAAAGGCGATCAAAATTTTAAAAAGAATACATGAATATTGGAAAAAAATCTTTAATATGCAAAACAGCAGGGCCAGAGTTTCTCAGGTGAGTGTTATACCCCATGAAACTCTTGTTTAAAAGTCTTGTAATAAAACCTGCTTCAAGAGAAGTTATATGAAAGTGGTTAAAACGTTAAGTGCACTCCATGTCGGTGTGTTTTTTAGTTATATTAATATAAGGATACATGTACTATTTGGATAAACATTTCAAATTAAAGATATTTGTACATGTATGTATCATTTGTGCAACCTAGCCTCTGTATCTTTCCTCATTATTATCAACATCATCAGTTCATCATTATCTTGATAAGTGCAGTAAGGGTACGCAATTCTTGTTGCCATTGACAATATGTACAGCCTAAAACAATATATGTCCATGGATGACTAATATGTGCAGTTATGGGAGGTATACAATGTTGCTGGTGACAATATATACATACAATATGCATAGGACAAGAATATGTACCGTCACAATGGCATTGCATGAAATAGCCTAAGAGACACGTCTGTGTGATCTACACACCAATACATTCACAATACTTCAAAATAAAATCTTAGGCAACTCTAACTTTGGGGCAACAATATATGCATTTAGGTTATAGACTCATAATCTCGCCACCCGGCAACAATATGTACATGAGTGTGTAACTTTTCAGCAGGTGACAATACGTACTGATGGACGACAATATGCGCAGTTGGAGTAGGTACATATTGCCATCGACAGTATATGTACCATCACATGAAAATTTGATGAATTCAAAATTAAATAATTTTGAATAAAGTTATAAAAGATATTTGGAGCTTATAAATTAACATGTATACATGGTGGTGGGGGGGGGGGCAATTTCAGTTAGGAGGGGACACAAGCAAACAAAATGCCTTGACAAGAATAGGCCTAATGGGGCACAACCGTAAAGTAGGTACATTTTACGTTTTCTATTGTATAGTATTTATTGGCAAAATTATTATGTGGAAAGGGGGGATCATTGTTCCGATTGACCTGATATAGTCCAATGGATTTTCTATCTCTAGAACTGTACTCTTTTAAAAAATAATTCGCTTCTGAGCCAAAAGATATACTGTCCGACGCCATGTTCACTTTAGACTTAAGACAGGTATCTATCTATAGTTGTCTTAAGATTAAGATAGATCTTTAAGATTTTGATAAGATATATGAGAATTTTGTTAAACAGCTATGGTTCAATCTTAGATTAATTTTTCATCCTAAGACAGATCTTAGTCATAATTTTGTGAAACAGGCCCCAGATCTATAAACATATAAACATAGTGATACTAACGTGAGTACTTTCGCTTTACAAGTGCATACCTCGGCAAAGCTGTAAGATCCACCACACCATCTGCAGTTTTACACGAGCATGCAGTCAGCTTTTGACAGACATCTGCCTGTACTACAATCGTTATCTGTAGTAACCAAATGATAAGATCCACCCCCATGATATCCAACGCAGACAGATCATGTGCCACAGTAAGGTAAACAAAAGTAGAATGACAGTCTTGTGACACGGCGAAACCGGGAAACTCCGAAATGATAAATTTTTGTTGAAATGACGGATGAAAATGGTTGAGTGACTAATAAAAAACTGCAATGACGGTAAATTTCAATTTATAGGGTTATTAATACCTAATAAACATAAAAATTTTGAGCTCAATCTTTACCCCTACGGTTTTATAGCCACTTTATTGGAAATATCAAATATCTGAGGAAATCGACCACCATTGATGGGTTTTATAGGTACACCACGCCCGATTTTTTTTTTTTTTTTTTTTTTTGGAACGAGGGGGGGGGGGGGGTTCCTAATAATAATAATTTAAAAAAAAAAATTCAAATATGAGATCCAGGGGCGTCGGCAAAGGGGCTACAGGGGCGGCGGTCGCCAAAAACTAAAGTAGATTGTAAAATTTTGCAAAAATTGATAATTCTGTTTGAAATTAATCAAATAAAAACCTATTTGGTCTTAGTCGTAACTTCTTTTGTAAAACGGGCCCCAGAAGAACAAATTTGTGATGGCGATATTTGTGGTCAATGGAACGGCAAGAATAACGGCAATCTGTGGTCAATGGAGCGGCAAAGTGTGAATTGGGATATATGGTACCTGTACCAATAAGCATGGAATCCATCGGTACTTGCAAGTTTGCTACAAATTCTTCTTCAGGCCTAGGCCCACAGCTAACAACGTTTGTGGAAATTCTATGTTTTGGGGGCGGGGGGGGGGGGGGAGGGGGTTCTCTAATTTTTTCTATTCAAATGCTGGAATTAGCCCGAGTTCGACCTTACAAGAAACAAAAGTGTGTATGAAAGGGGTAGGGAAAGCAGCATCTAAATAAATGAATTACATACCAAAACCAAAGCAAAAAGACTATTCTCAGAAAACAAGTGGAGAAAATGGAAAAAAAAAAATTGGAGGCGCCCCTCCCTGACTCCTTCCCCTGCGTATAACAGGCCTGTTCATTGTCTAAACCAGGCCCATAGCAACGGTTTCAAAAGTGGGGGGGGGGGGCTAAAAAAACTAAACTGACCAAAAGTGGGCGGGAGGGCAACTTCCCCAAATTATCTGACAAACAAAAAAAAAAAAAAAAAAGAAAAGAAAAAAAGAAAAAGAAAAAAGCTAATTCACTGACCAAATTTTGGAATTTGCCAGTGCTCGACCTTACATCAAAAATGGGGGGGGGGACCAACATCTAATGGAAAATTTACTATAGCAAAATACTATACACAGAGGCGCCCTGCCCCCCCCCCCCACTCCCCGAGTTCTACGGGCATGTAACAATCGGTCGATCAGTGTTAGGAAATGTTTGATGAGTCGAAGTTGTAAGCTACTAAATTAAAGCAAAATGCTAAAATACTGCGTAAAATTACTATTCAAAACAACTTCAGTTGATTTTTTTTACAATGTCATACGTTTTTCTGCATGTCAAAAATGGAGGTATTATGAGGATTAATCCCCCTGTTGATTTTAAATTTCATAATTATGCATTCTTTCGGCAAGTACCATAAATATTATGCAATAATAGAAAATTATATGTATTTTAATCTTTAACTCGTCATAAACATTTCAAAGTTCTTTCTATGCCGTTTCGGAATATATTCCTATGTAAAACTTTGATCGTCCATTGTGGTCCCACCCTACCCCTGGGGGTCATGATTTGAACAAACTTGAATCTACACTACTTGAGGATACTTCCATACAAATATGACCAATCATGGCTTTGCTGTTATTGAGAAGAAGAATTTGAAAAATTTTCCTATATATTTCTATGTAAAACTTTGATTGTCCCTTGTTGCCCCGCCCTACCCCCGGGGGTCATGATTTGAATCTACACTACGTGAGGATGTTTCCTCATAAGTTTTATCTTTCCTGGCACAGTGGTTCTTGAGAAGATTTTTAAAACATGCCACCAAATTTTCAATATTTCTAAATTATCTCCCCTTGAATGAGGGCGTGGCCCTTCATTTGAACAAACTTGAATCCCCTTCACCAAAGGATGCTTTGTGGCAAGTTTAGTTATAATTGGCCCAGTGGTTCTTGAGCTTTCAGCTCAGGTGAGCTAAAATGAATGAGTAAATGAATTCAATCTTTTTCAATTAAAGAAACTATGATATAGACTATATCAATTAAGAAGTTATCTTACCTGGACAATTTCCCGTTCTGCACACATTTTTTCAATACCTGAAATTCAAATGTGTGCGAAACGGGAAAACCGTGGAAACACCTGTTTGGTTGGTGTGTTCCCCGAACGGCTACTCGCCAAAAACAACAAGTAATTATCACACCCAATTAAGGGGCCCCATAAGGGGTACTGGTAGATTTACCTGTGTTTACCTGGATAACCAATATTTGATAAATCAAATAAAAATATGAAATTTCATTTTTTTTCTATTAAATTAAAAAAAAAAAAAAACCCAAAGATTTAAAAAATAATTTTAAACGAAAAAAAAATTTAAAAATATTATCAAAACATATTTTATACATTGCTATGTATTATTGAACTTTTAATATTATGGTACGTTTAAATATATTTTTTTCAAAGTGTTAAATATACTATTGATAGGGAATTTTTTGAACTTGAAGTGGGGGTCCAACTTTTTCTCAACTTTAAAAAAAAATACATTGCCTAATGTATGACTTAACTGCCACAAGAAAAAGGTTGGGGGGGGGGGGGAGGCAGCCTCCCTCCTGTCCCTCTGTAACTTCGTGCCTGGAAGTTATTACTTGTCAAGGTATTTCCAATTTCCTGTGGTGTCATATGTTTTTGCCAAAACTGTTATCAATTAATTATTAATTTAAATTTTTACCAAATAGAAATACATCTTTTGGAAGAATGCTTTTCAATAGGCATAAGAAAAAAAATGTTTAGAAAAATAATTTTTAAAATTAATACTTTCTTTTTTTAATCAACAAAACTCTTTAAATAAAAGATGTTGCTTAGGACAAGAACACCTTCTCATATATCTTCATTCAGGCATTTTATTTATTGTATTTCTAATGTAAAATGGTTCCTTGATATTCACAGTTCAAACATATTTACCAAGTAACAATTATTTTGGACCTTTAGCATTTGAACTTATTTGGAAAGTGACAATTATGTTGGAATTATCCATTCGAACCAGTTTTAATATAATTTTTTATAATGTTTACTAAAAATGAACGTTTTTTATGCTGAACATACACTCTTTTTTATGTCTTAGTCTCAGAAAAGGTATGGCAATTTATATATCTATTGCAGTTATTGATTAATTTAAATTATACTCAGTGAAAATAAATGCAGTTTTTCTACTTTAAAACCCAAAGGTACAAATACCTTAACTGTATACCCTTAGATAGAAATCGAAATTATTTAACAGCAAAAAAAATAAAAATAAAAAAATAAAATAAAATAAAATAAAATAAAATAAAATAAAATAAAATAAAATAAAATAAAATAAATAAATAAATAAATAAATAAATAAATAAAATAAAATAGATAAATAAATTTAAAAAAAGATTACAGGATATATTAAACTAAAAATGACTTGATAGATTGTTCTGTTTAAATATACACTTAAATTCAGGTAGTTTATTTCATGCAGGTAAGTCTACCTGTACCCTTTAGAGGGCCCCTTAATTGGGTGTGATAATTAGATGTTGATTTTAGCGAGTAGCCGTTCTGGGAATAAGCCGTTTGGTTCACAACTAGTATACATGTGATATACATCGGGCCTAATTTGAATCTAAATTCCAATTCACTAATCTTACCTTGTTTTTCCATGTAGTAAGGAAACTGATTCCATAGAAATATAAAATCTTTTATTAGAAAACAATATAAATCGAGTGAGTAAAAAGTCATTTACTTTGAATTAAATACAGAACAAAAGCATTATAAAACAAAACAAGCTAATTCAGAGAATTTGTGTCCCCCGCTTAGGGAAAAAAGAAGAGCATACGCAGTTCGGGGGGGGGGGGGTCACACTGCCCCCTGTATTCATAGAATTATTAAGTGTATACATGTATATTGAAGCAAATTTTAAAAAAAACGCCAATATGGATATAAAGATTTGATTGCTTATTCTTTAATATGTGTATAGAAGATTCTTTTTAATATACAGAATATTTAATTTATCACACTGTAACAATGATTTTATGAGTTTGTACACGCCAGACATCATAACATTTCATTTCACATGTTGAATAATATCATTTAGTAAATCCAAAAAAAAAAAAAACCATTAAAAAAAGAAAAATAGAATCGATCGGGGATTGAACCCGGGCCTCTCGCTTGCTAAGCGAGCAACATACCCTAAACCACAGAGGCACTTGATTATACAGCAAATTAAAAGCAAACATTAGGTCACACACAAAAGTCAGTAATGATAATGTCGTAAGAGTTATGCTTCTTTGACTACTCGTATGTAACAAGAAGTTGATCTACTCATTTCCATAATATGACTCATATTGAGTTAAGTCTGATTAAATGCAAACATTAGGTCACATATAATGTTTATATTCATGTTCGATATTGTCAAAATTTTTCACATTACATATTGTCTAATTTAGCCTTTACTAACAGTTCTAATAGATGTAATTAGAATATAAAGTCGGCCACCAACCTGTATTATACGTAATAACTCTCCACATGCCCCTTTGCTAAAAATAGTGCCAAGCGACTTTTAAATATACAATAAATTTAAAAAAACGGGGCGGGACACTTTGAGAGGGGCGAGAGATGCCATAGGGAGTTATGGTATGAAATTTCTTTGCAAAAGCTCAAAAGCTCTTTGAGATATCGCCCGGAAACGAAAGTGTTACACACACGGACGGAATTTGTGAATTTACGACCTTGAACTTTGACCTTTTGACCTCAAAATCAGTAGAGGTCTTCCTTAAGCCACAGGGCGTTGTTATGTAAAATTTCATTGCAAAAGCTTAAAGAATTTGCGAGATATCACGCGGAAACGAAAGTGTTAAAACAGACAGAATTTATGAATTTATGACCTTTGACCTTTTGACCTCAAAATCAATAGGGTTCTTCTTTAGTACATAGGGAGTGCTATGCATTGCGAAAGCTCAAAGGGTTCTCGAGATATCGCGCGGAAACAAAAGTGTTACAGACAGACAGAAATACAGATGGACAGACGGATAGACAGACCCAAATTAATATCCCCCACTTTCAGTGAAAGCGGGGGACAACAATATGAAGAAACAATCATTAAATTATGCAATGTAACAACATTATATTTGGCAACAAAGAATATTTGATGTTCATTTAACAGTCCATATTATACATAATATAAAATATGTATCATTATAATACATAAGCATTACAATTTCAGACTCAGTTTACAATTTAACAAATCTGCAAGTTACAGATAACGAGAAACAGTCTCCAAATCACAAGCACAAAAGGAAGAATGATGGAAAGAATACCTCACAGTTCAGGAAACAGAAGATTCAAAGCCTTGAGGTCTGCCAGTTCCTTATGCAGGTGCAGGTTCTTGGCCTCCAGTTTACGTCTCTTCTCCCTTTCCGCAAGTAGTTCGGATGAAGTGGCCCTCAAACGCGCAAGTTTTTCCTCTGCAGTTTTCCTCTTTAAATTGATCGAGTCGGAAAGAGTGTCTATCCAATGGATATAGGCTAGGATTTCTTCTTGCATCTCAGGGACACCAGGAAGAGAAAGAGGAGGAAAATCCTGGCACCTGGTCTGAGTAGAAACATGGAAAGGTCACAGAATTGAATACACTGTGAGGGTCTTCTTGACAGGTGGTTCCAACACATAAGAAACAGGAAGGGGAACCTCATCAGGCAACTCAGGAGAGGAGAATGATGCCTCAGGCACAGATGTACAAGTCAACGGCACTGGAGGAAGAGCATCCTTAGCCTTAGGTGGGCTGGTCCTACCATAGAATGAAAAACTCCCAGGATCCCAGGATCAGTGAAAGATGCATTGGGTGTTGAAGTTTCCTGGCTCTTGGAAAGAATACTTTCCACTAATCCTTTGCTGGTCCCATGGACACGGAGGAGATGCACTTTCATACCGTCTACAGCAGGCGACCTTGCAGTTGACTACTGGGCATGAATAGGAAATGACCTCTGGGAGATGCTTCTCCATGATTATTTCCTGTATATCAATTTTTAGCTCACCATAACGAAGTTTGGGGGGAGCTTATGTGATACCGTCCGTGGTCCCAGGTTAAAGTTGTTGGAGCAGATTTCTTTTTAAATACTTCTATGCTCGATATTAATAATATAGTTACTTTAGAATGAACCTGCTCCTAAGACTTTAATCAGGCCCCAGGATCATGAAACAGACTTAGACTTAAGTCAAATTTTCAATTGCATGTAAAATGTTTATCATTTATTGAATTAATCTTTAATTTTGCAGATAAACAACACTTTTGTAAAGCAATATTGTAAAATAGATTAATTTTGGCTTGCTTGACTTCTACAACATTTTAGTATAACATAAAGATTTTGACTTAATTAAGCTTAAGAGACTTCATGATCCCGGGGCCTGGTCACTCATCTGGAAAAAGTAGGTCAGATCCAGCATCTGAAGCATGTCTGGTAGTGTGCATCCTTAGATGTATCATCCGTGCAAGTTTAGTCAACACAGGACTTATATATAGTTACTTGGAAATGAGACCTACTCCAAAAACTTTAACCTGCTCCAAAAACTTTAACCTATTCCAAAAACATTAACCTGGTAATTCTTTAGCTGAAATTGCAGCGTCTGAACCAGGGCTTGACTGGTACAATGAAACATACTAGAAGCATCATCTGATTAATATTGAGCATAGATCTAGAAGTATTTAAAATGAAATCTGCTCCAAAAACTTTAACCTGGGACCACGGTATCACATAAGCTCCCCAAAACTTCGTTATGGTGAGCTAAAAATTGATATACTAGTACTGGAAATAATCATTTTCATCATAAAATTTATTTTAAAGTTTATGGCATTTTAACCTTGGGCTGTGCGCATTATCTCTGACTTTGAAAAACTACAGTTTTGTACAAAAATGTTAAGTTCAAACAATCAAATCTAAACTATTCTGTCTTGGATTTTCATTACAAATATTTTGGAATACAATAAGTATATCTAGGACCGTTCAGTTTGACAAAAACGTCATTATCCGCAAACTTTATGGAAAATTTCCATATAAATGCCCTAACCTTGATATATTTTTACCTTAATTTTAAATGCCTTTTCTATAATACACAAGCCTTGATTTTAAAGAACCAAAAAATAGATATACAAAAACGTGGCATTAATAGAAGCTCTACAGTGCTTCCCCATCTGGAAGGCAATAATGCCACTTGTCTTTGTGTGTTCACCAATTTCATTTAAAATACATAATTTTCAATGTATTTTTAACAACACCTTTCATATCAGACAGCCATTCTGTCGTTATGAAAAGCAACCAGGCCAAGTTTTCATCAGTGTTAAAATTTATTTGATAACAAACAAGACTGAGAGACAATATGTGAATTTGAAAAAAAAAAAATGAAAAATATAATATTTAACAAAAAAATCACACATAAACACTTCAGATCTATTTACTTTATAATTGTATTCTTGATCACCCATCAATTCATGATACATGCATCTGCAAATGGATAAATTAAACATTATAAAATACATTATACATGTATATGTATTACAATGTACCACTATAGTGGATTATATAATGTGTTTGTTTCACAGACAGGAACTCTCTGCTGTTGCAATCTATTAACAAACTGAGGATGCCTTCAGTGAAATGTCTACACATTGAGGATTGCCTCATGCTTCCCATCATACGATCCCTGACCAAATAGGTACAGTGTACGGGATTCCTCTCCAAGCTGTCCACAGAACTTATACACTCCCTCATACATCTCAGCATGCCTGTAGAAGCAAAAATATCATACATCAAAATACTCCATACACTCTATACACTCCCTCATACATCTCAGCATGTCTGTAGAAAAAATATCAGATATCAAAATACTCCATACACTCTATACACTTCCTCATACATCTCAGCATGCCTGTAGAAACAAAAATATCAGATATCAAAATACTCCATACACTCTATACACTCCCCCATACATCTCAGCATGCCTATACAAACAAAACCTTATAATCAGATATCAAATTATCCAAACTCTCCCTCATTAATCTCAGCATGCCTGCATGAACAAACAAAACAAGATGTGTTTGTGAAACACTAATGCTCCCATATGACAGCCCATGGTGAGCATTAAAGTTTCTCTAATGCAAATCAAACTCCAAGGTCAAGAGAACAAAAATATTGGTACCCAAAGAAAGATCTTGTCATCACAAGGAATACACCTGTGAAAGATGAAAGCCCTAGCACTAACCATGCAAAGGTTATAGCCAAGGTTAAAGTTTTTCAAAATAAATCAAACTCCAAGGTTAAGGACAAAGGTCTAAACTAATGTTACACATGGAAAGGTCACAAGGAATATACATGTAAAATATGAAAGCCCTAGCACCAACCATTCAAAATTGATGACCAAGGTTAAAGTTTTTCAAAAGTAGGTCAAACCTCAAGGTCACAGATAAAAGGTGAAAACTATTGGTACCCAAAGAAAGGACTTGCCACAAGGATAATACATGTGAAATATGAAAGCCTTTGCACCAACTGTTCAAAATTTATGGCAAAGTTTATGTTTTTCAAAAGTAGGTTAAACTCCAAGGTCAAGATCAAAAGGTCATAAATTTTTGTACCCAAGGAGAGGTCTTATCACAAAAAATACACATGTGATGTATGAAAGCCCTAGCACCAACCATTCAAAGGGCCAAGGTTAAAATTTAGGAAAATTTTGCAAAAGGTCAAGGTCAATCATGTTGATACTCAAAGAAAGGTCTCGTCACAAGGAATACACATGTGAAATATGAAAGCTCCAACCAATCAAAAGTTATGGGCAAGGATAAAGTTTTTGCAGACAAACAGACAGATGGACAGACACAGACAGCTGCACAGGAAGACACGGCAAAAACTATATGCCTTGAATCTTCGATTAAAGGAGCATAAAAATCAGATATCAAAATACTCCTTGCACTCCCTCATACATCTTAGCATGCCTGTACAAACAAAAGCTTTTAATGAGATATTAAATTCTTCATACACTCCCTTTATGAACATCTCAGCAAGCCTGTACAATCAAAACCTTATAATTAGATATCAAATTCTCCATATACTCCCTTTTACATCTCAACATGCCTGTACCACCAAAAGTTTAAATAATCAGATATTGTAAATGTACTTATTTTAGCGGAAACCAGGTTTTAGTATCTTTCATTCTGTTTTCCGTCCATGGCCACCAAATTAGTCGCAAATTAGAGCCCTGATACAGTCACATACTTAATTCTTTATGACTTCAGAAATGTACCCACTTAAAGGTTGAGATTTTTCTCAGGAAAGGGACTTACTTTTATATGTGTGTACCCTAGCCAATGACGTCATTGTGAAGAGAGCTAATCTCTATGCGTCACAAACAGTATACACAGAAAGTTTCATGAATATTATCTGTACAGAGTATTAAACCGAAAAGACTGGTAGATCGATAGACAATATATTTATAACTAATATTTGTAAATTTCTATAATTTTATTTTTAGAAACAGAAATCCCATCAGTCGATTTTTGTGAAAATGTATGTATTGTATATCATAAATTGTATCAATGAGTTGAGATCATCATTGAAATTAATGAATTCAGGGAAATTTTCAAAAGTAAGATACTTATTATCGCCTGTCCCTTTCATATTTTTTGGTCTCCTCAATACACCTAAAGCATTTGAGCTTCGATCACGGTCATATTTAGAGTTATTTCTCATCTGCATGATTTGTATGAAAATTAAGTCTATTTAATTATAGTGGCCCTATTATTAGGAATTGAGCATGTGGCAAAAAATTCATGAGAATGCTGCTTTCAGAGAATTAAAAATATATTTATAACATAAAATATAATAACAATTTAAAATGAAGTATATATATATATATATATATATATATATATATATATATATATATATATATATATATATATATATATATATATATATATACATTAGTCATTAACGTATGTATTTCTTTCAAAAAAAAATGTTTAACACTCAGGTAGCAAGCAACCCATATGGCACAAATAAGAGATAGCTATTTGTTCTTAAATAGTTTTATCATAATTTTTTATTTTTTGCCACATCCCAAAATAAAGTGTTACAGGTGTACCCGTACTTCAAACTTCTTTTACAAGTGCAAACAAGATTTTTGTCACCTATGTAATCATAACTAGAAATTTTTATGAACATGGTTATACATGTGTTTAATTACACAGCATTTCCACAGTGGATGGGCACTTTCCCTTCAGCATATAAAAATTGATGTACGTTTTGAAAAATCAATAATTATTGTACTTTGAATCAGAATTTACTTTTTTGAAAAACAGGTTATTAGACCAAAGCATGATTTATTATACAGAATCATATATTATAAGACTAGTTCTGATAGTAACCGAGACCTTTACAGATGTTCCTCAAACACTCCCCTACTCCCATATAGACTTTTTAAAATCTTCTTTTCTAAATCATTTGTGGAAATAACAATGCACAAATAGCAAAAGGAGCATAACTCAATTAGATTTAAGTACACGTGCATGCACGAGTTTTTGAAAAATTTTCAGATACATCATCTCATAGTATGCCCTATTAAAGAGCCAAATTTTAAATTTCAAAGAATTTCACTGAAATCGTAGAATGTTAAACCAACCAAATTATTAACTAGATGACTAATATATCTTTATGTTTTAAATTTCAAAGCATTTCATCAAAAAATTTAAAAGTTACATCTATATCAAGTACATGTCATTTCACGCATCGCACACACATGCATGTGTGTGCAAAATGACCGTTCCGCAAATCTATACACAACATGCCTATTAATCCTAAAAAGATTTCTCCTCAATCAAATGAGTGGTTTCCGAGATCACTCGCGGGCAAAAAAGTACCCGGAAGAAGAAAATAGAGTAAAAACAATATATATGTTCCCAAACTTTATTTGGGGGACATAATAAAATTATTTTGCATGTTTGACTACTAGGTCTACAGACATTAATATTTAATCAGGCCAAAAGTTTTTTGCATTAATACAGCTTCTTTATTGTGCTGGAATTATATGCAGTAAACATCACAAGACCAAAAATTAATTTGATTATTGCCACAAGCACCAAACAAGGTGTACAAGTTATATACAGGGACTAGTAACTATAAATTTCTATCAATATCTAGCACAAAATGATGGATCTTAATTCACTTGATTGAAAGGGGTTCACAGACCAGGAAAATCTTAAGGCGGTGCTTATTATCAAGGCCGGGACTTAAAAACCTTTAATGATTAATGACTCACATATTCATACCTATGTCTACAAAGACACTAACTTATTGGTCCTTATGATTATATACACATACTCAGTAGTTCCTTTGCCTACATACACACTAGACACTTACTTGGCAGTAAAGTACACCCTGAGTAGTGTTTTGCTGTTACTGATATGAGTGATGTGGGCCTCTAAGGTTCCAGAGTTTGGCTCTACACAAAATGTATTCTGTGCACATGTGTCAGAACAGTTGTCTACAAAAAAAAATTAATCATTGTAGTTCAGAGACGTTACCAAGTTGAATATTCTGCTTTAGTTGCAGCAAACACTTTCAAAGGATGGTTGCAAACCACGCACGTTAAAATCTAACCAGAGTTTCTGTCTTTGTAAACATTACATGATTGCTCCATCACAGATTTACAAATGATTGGTTCTACAACAATGCAGATGTGTTATTTCTCTCTTGACACTGATAGGGGTACTATTTATAGTTCAGATCTCTCCATGATTTAAGAGGCAGTCCACCAAAAAACCAGGCAATGGGTGGCACATCGTATGTCATGGATTTTGATTATTTTTTGCATGTAGACTTATTAAAGCAAATGTTTACACATGGCAACATCAAAATTTTTTTTAGTGTTCCTCTAGTCCTATTTTTGGTAAGTGCTTAATTTTAAGTGCAAAAAGGTCAACAAGTTGGTTAAAAATTTACTACGGTTTTGTTTTGTTTTATTTGAAACAGATACTCAAAAACTGGATATGTCAATGAATATTATTTATAGTATAAACCCTTATCTTTTATAATATCAATGAACAAGACACCAATTTATATATCTTTAGAAAAAATTATGTGGTCTAAACTTTTGTTAAGCAAGTGACTTAATGAATTCACTATCCAATTTTCATTACGTTCTAAAATCCAATACATTTAAATGTCAAAACTTTCTCCTCATGTTATTATGAATACAAAGTTCAAATTGTTGAATCAATTTAAAAAATTGGTGGGAACAGGTATATTGAGAGAAATAAGAGGCGTCAAATTATCTACTTTTTATAAATTTATCCAAATTAAACCGATCCCGACCGGAATTATATAAAGAAGAAAGCTACTATGATTTCATCATGAAACTTGGTTGTTTTGTTTTAATATGGTTTACACATTACTTGATTTATTTTTAAACATGTTTTCTAGGTGGCAATTACCATTAATTTTATTACTTAATAATTTTGCATTAATTTCGATCGGGATCGGTTTTATTTCAATCGGGATTGGTTTCTATATTAAAAATTAGAAATATTTTCTAAAATCGGCTCTTCGTTGTATTTTATCATAGGAATATGTCTGTATTTTATTTCTTTTCTGTGAGTTACATGTTTTTAGATGATTTTATCCATAGATTACATATATCTTAATTACTAAATGTTTTTCAGGTCCATGAAGATCTTTTTTATAATTACTTGTAAAACATCTGTTTGATTTCTTGATATACACCTATTTAAAAAGATATTTATTTCATGTTACAATTAATAGCAAATTCTAAGCTTAATAAAATATCTCATTTCCAAGAAAAATATTTTTTCTAAATTATCTGGACTAAAAAGAAAATCTATTAAAAAAAATAGTCCTGCAGTGGCGAAATTATACATGCACGTACTTTAATCCAGCAAGTTTTTTTTTATGTGTGCAGCCTCGGCTTTAATCCAATTTTTTTCATCCATTCATCATATTAAGGAATATTTTCATTCTCTAAGAGAAATTTAATTTGAAATAAATAAGAAAAAATCTTCACACTTACATACATATAATCATGATGATAGAGCCCAGAAATGATCGCACGAAAAAAAAAAAAAAGCGGGGGGAGGGGGGTTTCGTCTAGGCGGCATCCGTTTTGTAACTGGTTTGATAATAATGAGATATTTTGGAAATTTACCAACCTACTGACTTATTTTAACTCAATATAAAGTATTAGGATATGTGGAACAATTGTCAAATTTTAAAAACGAAAATTAAAAAAAATGTTCCATTGACTCATCTGCCGTTTTAGTGTCAGCTTGAAGTGGGGCGTCCAGCAGTAGAATTGGCAACATTTTCCTCATTAATTAGTAAATTTATAGATTTCTATAACTTTTTTTCTATTTCAGATTTTACATTTTTTAAAAAATAAAGTCTAAACAGAATCTGAACCACCGACACTAATAGTAAACAACCATTGCTAATATTAGTGAAGTGGGATGTGACGAGTACTTCCGTTCTTACAACTGTTAAAACTTATTCGGTCCGACAGTCGTATAATGCTGATATTTGATATTACTGCATATAAGTTAACATATTCAAGTATTAACAACACTTCATGAAGTGCACATCTCGACTTTGCTGAATTTAATGTTGCGTAAATTTGGAATATTCATTATTACTGAATAATAAGAAATAATCCTTAATCTTTTCACATCCAAATTTTATCAATTTAATCCTTTTATGATTACTGTAAAGACGTTTTGTACATGTATAAAATTACTTATCAATGCTGACTTGTTTTAAAACATCTATAGCTGAGGCACCGCCCGTGAATAAAATACATTCTGGATCACAATATTATTCCATGCACTCAGAAAAGTAATTGGACAGAAAAGAGAAATTATTTAACGTAACTTTTTAAAAATCTTTTTCTTTGCACGTTTACATAAATTTACCAACATCCGCGGAATATTTGCAACTATTGTCACGCAATATTAGATAGGTATTTGACGTCACTGATACATCAATGGAAACGTGGTTTCAACCTGAATAATAAAGCAAATTTTAGACGAAATATTATGTTTGGAGGTGAAAATTAATTCGGTTTTTGAAAATAAACCAATTATTTTTGGATGAATGATATTCTTTAGCGTATCAGTTCTAAATTTCTCACAGGGGTTCTGATAGTAAGATGTTTAGATGATTTCCCGATGCTACGGGAGATAACTCTTGCATAACAGAATTTCATAAAAATGACTGTCTATTTTGCAAGAAAACTACTATTGAAAATATTTTTCCCACTGATTTTATTTTTTAGATTGAAAGATGAAATAGTTCTTGATTTAGTTTGGAGTGAATTATAGATCTGTTGAAAATGTATTAGAATTTACAGTTCTTTCTTTCCGACTTACATTCAATGGTTTATATAGGGGAATTCAAGAACACAAAACAAAAGGATATTTTAGTAAATAAGCTATTTTCAAACAAATCTTTACTTACATTATTCCATATGGACTACATTAATATCATTTTCAATAAAATATCAAATATTCGTCACATTCGATGTGCCGCCTATTAATACAAAACTGCCTGGTTTTCTGGTGGACTGCCTCTTAATCAGTACCAGTGCAGGTTAAAACAAGTTGTTATTACTTTTTTTTATCAGAGAACAACTTAGTATAATGTACTTTAAAACATTAGAGAACATTGAACTATAACAGGGGAGTAATATACCCATGTAGGAGGTCCAATACGAGTGAGAGGCTGTTCTGTTATAAATGATGATCTGTCGTTCACGTCTCTGACCCACCAGACATGTACCAAAGTCAAGGGATTCTGTTGACAGTTCCATCTGAGGCAGGGATAAAGTGGCATACAGAGGAATTCTCTACAAATAGGAAAACAGGAGTCTGTATCTGGAATGCTGAACACTGAGTCACTGACTATAATCAAAGAAACATTTAATTAAGGTATATAGGTTAAACTAAAGTTTGAGTAACAGTTGCATTAAAAAAGAGTTAACTTTTAAAGATCAAGCTTTATTTCATGGGATTTTTTAAGATTTCATATACTACTATGTTAATAAAAGACCAAAGCAGCTGTATAGCAGAGGAAGCTTTCCATTTCAGGGAATTTTAACCTTTTTCACTGGAACTATGGCCATTTATTGACTGAAATGTACAATTTTTCTGAACAATTTAGGATCAAATTTTGAGGTGTCAATACTACCATACTTCAGTTTTGCAGATTGCAGATCAACATTAGCTGTCATTATAGCTAGGATGTCAACTCTTTTGTCTGAGTAATGGCTATTACTGACTGAAAAATCACTGAAATTTGTTATCTGAAACATTTTTCAATGAAACTTGAGAGATAATGGATTATTATTTTGCACACTGATAATTATAAATGTAGTCTAAGTTTTTAAGAGATTTTGTCCCTCTTGACTTGAGTTATTGTTAAGTATAAAGAGGAGTGCATACATTTCTGGAATTTCAACCTTTTTATAGGAATTATGACTCATTATTGAACTCATTTTTCCATAATTATATCATTAGACTACCTCTGATATGCTCAACTTTGATTGTAATTCAATTTGATTGTAATTCATTAATAAATTTGGAACATGGTAGCATATAAACAGATTAGATTCTATTAGATTTTTTCATAATTAGATTCTATTACTTTTTTTTTTTACAGTTGATATATTATAGCCTTTATGAAGGTAGACATGCAGATTCAGCATAAAGGAAATTGGTATTTTATCAACACAGCGAGATCAGAGAGAGCTCTGAAGAATTCTCTAATTGGTAATAGAAAGAATCAGGCTTAAACAATGAATGCATTTCAGTATTTCTTGGTAAATATACATGTTAGTGCATGGAACCCTAAGATTCTGGTCATTTTCAGAAAATTTAAACTATTCAATGAGTAAATATTTCTACATGGTTTAATCAAATTCCAAAAAAAAGTCATACTAGAAATATGTCCATAGGACATGAATGCCCCGCCGAGGGTATATTAGTAATGCAACATGAAAATTCGTATTAGTGTATGAAATGTTGATGCAGTTGAATAGCTTACATCAGTATGTATCAACATATGAAGTTTGATTACACTATCTTGAATGGTATCTTTAAAACTGAGCTAAACACTAATTTAAGAAAAGTGAGGTCAAGGTCAAAGGAAAGGTCAAGGTCAAAAAATGTTGATGCAGTTGCATAGCTCTCTTCAATATCCATCAGCATATGAAATTTGATAAAAATTTCTTGTATAGTTTCTGAGAAACTGAGCTTTGAACAGAGCTAAATGCAAAGTGTGATGGAAGGACAGACGGAAGGACGAAAAGATGGAAGACAGACATGACAAACACTATATGCCCCGGCCATATTCATGGCGGGGCATAAAAATACTAAAATTCTCTATCCCTTTTGACTGTATTACCTTTGGCGAAATGCTCCCAACAAAAATAAATTTGATTCATTCTTGTGGAACAATGATAGAAATACCTGTGTAGTGGAGTTGTTAAATTCTATAACAAGGTTGTCCTGGATTTCTAATTTCTGTCCTTCTGTGACATTTGTATCTGCAGTATCAGCAGTTGACAAGCGTGACCCTTCATTCAGTGGGAGGAGGTCAAGGCTGGTCTGGAAGGCCACTTGTACCTGCATGGATGTAAAATAACCAGAAAGTTACAATTCCTGTACATTTTTTATTATCTAAAAATTCTTTTTATGGATAACATTATTAGACACTGTAAGGCTAAATCAACAGATTTCATGAGGGAGTACATCTATTGACTGATTTTGCAATACACATTTTAAGAAAACAAGAGGCTCATTGACAAGGAAGCTCACTTGAGTCTCCTTAGCCCTGCTATTTCTTCAAAACATTGGCCCAACCCTAGCCCTGGGGGGAGGGGGGGGGGGCAATGGTTTGAAAAAACTTGGACCTAAGCTACCTGCGGATGCTTGAATATTAATATGACAAATCATGAACATGTTGTTCTTTACAAGAAGCTTAAATTTGTTAAATAAGATTTTTTCCCCCCAGGGATTATAAATCTAAATAACTTGATGGTGTTTGCATTTTAATATCACTAATCATGACCCTATATACTGTTTGTGATTTGAAGGTTTTTAAAGATTTTTCCATATACATATATTCCTATGTTAAGCTTTAAATTGTTTCCTATTTATTACCGTTCATGCACTCAACCTCTGGGGGCCATGATTTGAACAAACTTGAACCTACACGACTTGAAAATACTAGTGTAGTAATATGACTAATCAAAGCCCCACTGTTCTTTGCAAGAAGTTGTTTAAGATTTTTTTTTCCTATACTTATATAAAACATTGCTATCATATTGTAGTCCAACCCTACACTCTGGGGCCAGGTTTGAACAAATTTAAATCCACACTTTCTTATGGCATATACAGATTAATATAACTTAGCAGGGTTCAGCTTATATTGAGATTTTTTTTCTTCAAATTTCTACATATTCCCATGTAAAACTTTGATTTCCTATTGTGGCCCAACCCTACCCCCATTGAACATTAGTTGAAGAAAGTTATATCTACACTACCCACAGATGCTTGCTGACTAATATTACCAATCAAGACCCTACTGTTATTGAGAAGAAGATTTTTTTTTAAAAGATTTTGACCTACATATTCCCATGATAAACTTTGATCTTCTGTTGTGGCCCCAACCTTTTCCAAGGGGAGCAATTGCTTCAAACAAATCTGAATCTTTGGTATGTCAGAAAGCTACATCTGTATTCCATGTTTTCTTTTCTAGCCCAGTGATTTTAGAGAAGATTTTTTAACACACCCACCGTTCTTTTACTTTATTGGTTATCTTCCCTTTCAAGAGGGCAGGGCCCTTTATTTGCAAAAACTTTAGCTTGAATTTCCTTCAGTCAAGGATACTTTGTGGCAAGTTTGGTTGAAATTGGCCTAATTGTTCTGGAGAAGAAGTCGAAAATGTGAAAAGTTTACAGATGGTTAGACAGTCTGACGCAGGACAAAATATGATCAGAAAAGCTCACTGAAACTTTCCAGCTCAGGTGAGCTACTAAAGATAAATGAATTACAATAAGGTTATGGTTAGGTCGTAGAGTCTGCATCTGAGTAGCTGTTGTTCTATCAGACAATTCCTCATTGGTAGAGGGATCAACATCCACCATTAAGAATGGCTTGGTGGTCATCATCCTGAATACTAGAGGGGTCTCTGTGTTGTTGGACAGCATTGCAGTGCTGATTCTTAAACTCTCACTGGATACCTGAACAAAGCAGACAAACAGAACTCCACTACTTTCATAGGTAGAAAAAATAGTAATGCAAAAGACAAAAGTTTGAACATTTGATCCACAAACACAGAAGAAAAACTGGAAACCAACATCAGAGAGTTAAAACTAGGTTACCTTGGTGTAAAAGTGATGTACATGTAATATAAAGAATTAACACTTTGTAATCTAAAAGTGATGTACATGTAATACAAAGAATTAACACTTTGTAATCTAAAAGTGATGTACATGTAATACAAAGAATTAACACTTTGTAATCTAAAAGTGATGTACATGTAATACAAAGAATTAACACTTTGTAATCTATCAGTGATGTACATGTAATACAAAGAATTAACACTTTGTAATCTATCAGTGATGTACATGCAATACAAAGAATTAACACTTTGTAATCTATCAGTGATGTACATGTAATACAAAGAATTAACACTTTGTAATCTAAAAGTGATGTACATGTAATACAAAGAATTAACACTTTGTAATCTATCAGTGATGTACATTTAATACGAAGAATTAACACTTTGTAATCTATCATTTCTTACATGATGGTTATCTGATTACAAGATGTATTACATACACATACATATAAATATTACATACAAGCAAGCTCCTTAGGCTTCTCTGTAACAAACTCTTAACATAAGCAAAAAAAAAACTCCTACTTTTCCCCACTGGCCTTGGTGAAATGTCCTTGAATGAGATACATTTCAACATACATATTAATATGGTAAGGAGCATTTTCTTAAGACTTCAATTCATTAACTTTTTCCACAACATCTAGCGCAAAAATAAGGTGTTGAAAATATTTCACGATCTACAGTACCAAAAGGACTCGGTCATATTTCAGTTTTAGAATAGAGATTAAATTTCTCTGACAGTGTATACTTTTGTATAATTATATCTAGAAGAATTTTTTTTTCTCTAGATCAAGTTCTTTCCTGAGAGACTGAGGCAAGCAATCACTTGTAGACATAGAATGTAGCACTACATCTTTTTATTGATTTACCTATCATTATTGTCAATAACTCACCTGGCCTTCTGCCTGTAGCAGATCACTCATGGCTGATCTGTACCTCATACCTTCATCATCATGACACTCAATGGTCAATCTAAAATCATGACAAAATTAAATCTTGCTGTTGTACTTGAAATACAGTTAGATAAGTATAGGAAAGTGACATATATATCTGAAAGCTTTAATGTAGACTTACAGTGCTGGTTTGATGTGGGCTGTCATTTCTAATTTTAATGGATCCACATTGTATACTTGACCTCTCTCCACTTTACCTTCCACATAAGCTCCCTGTTTATAAAAGCAACATGTAACTTCGCAAGATATCTAAAGCCTCTTTTTCAAACTGCCCTTCCAAATCATATACATTGAAGTACAAACATGAGACCATATTTTGATCTTCATAAGTTTTGCAGGAAGTAATAATCATTAATGTAGTAAGTTGTCTGCAACTTTGCAAGTAAAGAGACAATTTCAGACCCATGTTTTGCAGAGAAAATTATTTGCTGCAGTACAGAATATTATATTAAAGTACTATATATATATATATATATATATATATATATATATATATATATATATATATATATATATATATATATATATATATATATATATATATTACCTTATCCAAGCTCATGTAACCTAGGGCAAAGCCATAACAATCCATGTCCTTGATCACTTCTTCTGTTGGGAATGGTGTGAAAGTAAAGTTTACACTTGCAAAGCCTCTGGCTGGGATAACCTAAATGAAGACATTGTGGTTATCTTGACTTTATTATTACCAGTATTGTCTTGAAATGTTTATTTTTTTTTTGTTTATTTTTATGCCCCCATAATTGAAGATTCAGGGGTATATAGTTTTTGTCCTGTCTGTCCATCTGTCTAGTTGTCTGTTTGTCTGTGCTGTCTGTTTGTCTGCAAAAACTTTAACATTGCCCATAACTTTTGATTGGTCAGAGCTATGGCTTTCATATTTCACATGTGTATTCCTTGTGACAAGACCTTCCTTTGGGTACCAACATATTTGACCTTTTGACCTTTGAGTTTAACCTACTTTTGAAAAACTTTAATCTTTGCCATTACTTTTGAACAGTTGGTGCTAGGGCTTTTATATTTTGTATGTGTATTTCTTATGACAAAGTCTTCCCCTGCGTACCATTAATTTTGACCTTTGACTTTGGAGTTTGCCACTTTTAGAAAACATTAACCTTGAGGATAACTCTTGAATAATTGGTGGTTAAGCTTTCATATTTACCAGGTTTATCCATTGACACAAATCCTTTCTTTGGGTAACAACATTTTTTGATTGCTTGACCTTGGAAGTTTGACTGCATTTGAGAAACTTTAAACTTCATCTTAAGCTACCATATGGGGGCATCAGTGTTTCACAAACACATCTTGTTTCTTATTTCTGTGGACTAAATTGATCAGAACTTGTTAATTTAACATGAACTTAAGGGTTTTTTTGAACCTAAATCATATTTGTAATTAACTATGCTGTAAATACAGATTTGGTTGTAAAGATGTAGTTTTTAATCCTGTTGGAAGAAGTGGACGAAGAAGAATATGGATGTAATGGTTAAATTGCGTAGAATATAAGACAAAGCAGAGACTGGGTGAAACCAGTAGCATATCACCATAGATTATTAACACTCACCAAGAGGCCCATGGGCCTCAAAGTTTACCTGTGTCAATGTCCATATAATAAATTGCTTTAAAAACGTAGGTGGTAGAACATTTAGGACCTAGGAGTAGCTGCTTACCAGCTGTTTTGTTTTAACACTGTATGGAGCCTCAGCTGGCACACCCTCATGGGCCTGGTAAAACACAGACACAATGGGAATCCTCTTGGCCATCAGCTCTGCTTCTGTAGGGATGGGTTGTGATGTTTTAGTACTGACTTGTGTACGGGTGGATCCAGCCGAGGTGGATGGAGTGTTTGGTAAAAAGTCTGAGGGTTGTCTCTTCACAGGTTTTGGCACTAAAAGAATCAGTGTAATATGTCTAGTCAGACACATGAATGCAATGATTAACCTTAATGTAACAATCAAAGACATCATTACATCAAAAGGAAAAAAAAAAAAATAAAAAATAAAACAGGACAAAAGGACACATGCAGTTACACTGTAAAATAAACAAAAACAATACTTGGCATGCAGGCACCCATCATGCAATAATTAGACTGGTTGATATGTTAGTACAGTAATTGTGATAGAATATAAAACTCACCAAAAGGACTCCAATATACATTTTATGACACTTATTTGATGGGACCTGTATCTGCATGGCTCTCTTACATAAATGTTACAACACTATTAATTCTAAGTAATAGTTTTTTTTATTATTATTATTTTTTAATTGTTTTTTTTGTTCTTGCTTTTTGATATGTTGGGAGGAATTCTTAATTTTCAAGGTTAAAATTATTGAAATAATTCTTCAAATAAAATCATAATACAGTATCAGGTATTGTTTCTTGTCTTATTCAATGGCAATGGTCTTATTCAAAGAATAAGGTATAGTCAAAAGAGCCTTTTGGTTCCCTTGTTTTTGGATGGCTCTTAGAACACTGTAATAATTCAAAATCAATCAACTGTAATCATGAACTATTAATTGAAAAGTGACAGTATGTACTAAAGAAACTGGAAGGTTATAATTTTGTCCAATTTCTGAATTTTTTAAAAAATTAATTTTAAACCATTTTATGGAACACTTACTCCAACTTAATGCAGAATTTACCAATTTTAGGTTACACACTCAATTCTTAAGCATAAATCTTGGTAGAAAAAAAAGATGGACATAAAGGTAATATTGCAAGGGATAAAGTCTTTTTTAATTATAAACACAATTTTTACAGTGAAAAAGTAATGTGATCCGCCTCTCACTGCATATTAAGTGTGTCAAATTTTACATGTACATGACATCATAATGACAAGTTTATACATGTACTAATTTCCCATATAAATTAGGCCCCGTTCTCTAATAGAGTAACTTTAACTGAGCTGCATAATGAATATTCATAATTTTATTTGGAACATCTCAGAAGTTTTCATAAGATTAAAAGAATTGCTAGGTGTTCCGAATAGGTGTGCATCAGTTCATCAAACTGACGCACCTTATTGCAGGAAACCAGTCTTCTTTATGGTGATTTTCAGGTAATTTATAATAATCTGTATATACTTCTTGCTTGTTTATAAATACTAATGATAAATTTCCTGTGAATGCGCACAATACATATGGTATACAACAAAGTGCAGAGTAAGTTAGAGTATGTCTGATTACATGTATGACAATTAGTACATGATTAATTAGTAGGATTGAGCAGTCAGTGTAGATGTCACACAGACTTACCAAAGACTTCTTCACCTGAGTACAAAAGTTACACACAGAAAATTTAGACATCATCCCGCACCATGCAATATATATAAAACAAAGGCTGGAAATTTACACATGGAGGTTATTCATGCTAACTACACAAGAAAGGAATTTCATGCATGAACATTTCATTGTGAATCAACTCTGTCATATTGTATACTCTAGTGGAACACAGGAATTAATCTATAAGTATCCTATTGCTTCACATAACATACAAAGATTTCCATGTTAGATGTAATTACATGTACAAAAGCCAAGCAGAAATGTTCACATGTTAACTTCTTTTCACCCCTGTGTAAGATATACTGAAGGAAAATTGTTTTAACTACTGAAGAATAAATTAATGTTTTCTATTTATCCCTGGCCACTAAATTAATGTTAACATTATGAAAGTGATTAGGTTTACAATTTTGCATATTTTTCACTGGGATATAAGTTTAATGTAGTTGATACTTATATACAGTGTTAACTATCTAATCCTATACACCTGTGCGATCTGTTTCACTGTAATCTGCATTCTGAAATTATTTCCGTTCCCACATGACTATTTTTCATGTTCTTTAACCTGTACAATCTGATCCCCTGTTTATTCCAGCATATTAAATTTTGTCTCCCAGTGCCTGGCTGATTAGACAGGTTTATCTGTACTTTAAAATGATTTTCTGGCTTTGTCACAAATGGTGAGATCACATACAATGCAGACTTCATCACTAAATTTATTATCAAAATTCCTCAGATGATCCCATTTGACACCTCTCCAAAGAAAAGTAAAACTCTCTGAATGAAATATGAGCGTAAATTATAAATTAACATAAATTTATATTTCAAACAGTGACAAAGCATAAAATGTTTGTAAATTTATGCAATTTTTTGATTCTCTAAGAAAAAAAAAGATTTTATTAAGAGTTGCTGGTGTCAAAATCACATTTTAAGGACCTTCAAAATAATTTTCTTATTTTTCATATACATGTATTATATTCATCAGAATTTTCACCGTAGGTATGGGAAGAAAAAGACATCTGTGTGCCAAGTATTTTCTCCTTCAAAATATTTGCAAAATTAAAGACCATATCACTTCCATCAATCTCAAAAGCATGTTAATGCCCCTGACCCTATATCAAATGATCCAAAGTAATAAAGGAGATTTACATATAATTAAAAAAAAGCATCAAAGGTGAAGCATTATTAACAATCATTGCATTGTTTCAATATATAGATTTTTTTTTTTAAATAATTTTTCTTTTAGTGTATTAAGAAGGACCTATGAAACCTACCTTCCCAGGGAGGTACAATTTCCTTGCCTCTATTGTCCAGTTTGGGGAAAGCTTCCCCATACGTCACAAGCAGATCCAGAGTTTTCTTGTCATCTTTCTCCACATTGAATATACTCCAGTCTACCCGCAAATCTGAGTACAATAGAGAAAACGTGCCAGCATTGACACATGGAAAACAAGAGGCCCATGGGCCACATCACTCGCCTGAGCAAATTGGCTAGGAAAAAGCACAAATCAGTGGACCTTTTCACAAAATATCTAATGACTGAGACAATTTTTTTCCAATTCTCTTATCTCAGCTATAGTTGGTTTCAAAAAATCTTACAATTTAATTACATTTGAATACATAAAAAATAAAACTTAATATAAAATTGATAAATTTTTAAAAGGAAGAAATTACCGAAATGTCAAATTTTAACCTTAGTCACAAGATTTTTTGTGAAAGGGGCTACTGTTCAGCATTGAAAAGTATACAGGGGAGGAGGCTTGAATTTTAAACCTTCCATATCAATATAACAAATAGTTTTGTTGTTCTTGAGCAGAAAATTTCATGTCATTCCTGTCATGTTAGACACAGAGCAGTCATACAAGCTACTTCCAAATATACCAAAGAGTGGAACTGATAATTAATTTGTTAGATCTTGATCTTGAGATTTTAGCACATTGCTGAACATGGCAATGTTTCTCCTGGACTGTTTAAGACTCATGCAGATTCGCTGGACAGCTCTTTAGGTTTGGTTCTAAAATACCCATTCCACCTCTGATTATTGGTATGACTAGGGTGTGTATGGGATACAGATGTCACACATCTCTTGAGAGGATTACTGGGTTTATTACTATCCATGTATAATCTAATCCTTATAGATATTCCAAACAGAAATTCATTATGCTTCATATTTGACATTATAATTAATATAGAGATCAACTTTAAGTTTTGATCTGAAAAAACAGATCTGTATTAATCAAAGTTATCCTTACCAAAAGGACTGGTATTGTTGACCCTCATTGTTCTGTTAGTAGGGGCTACCCCGGAAACATGAGTACCAAACCTAGAGAATAATGACAGATCTTAGGAGGAATTTTAAGTCAGTGCAAGTATATGTATAGTCCAGTCAATTTTAGCTAAAATGTAGGCCCAACATCAAACTACAAGTAATTGCAACAGAAATTATTTTATATATATATATATGTGTATATATATATATATATATATATATATATATATATATATATATATATATATATATATATATATATATACATGATAGGTGAAATTTAACATTTACAAAATAGAAGTAAAAAATCTTAGAAAAATCTAATGAAGGGAAAGCATATTAGATTTTATTAATATTGACTAATAATTTTTGTTGCAAATAGTTTGACATTTATTGATAAATTGACTGGACCAATGGTCTGCTTTTCACTCCGGCTCATATCAGCTCTTCTCTATGATTAATATGATGACCTGCAATGTAATATCTGCAATCAAAACAAATCACAAAACATATTATAGTGTTCAATATAATCCAGCAACCTATTTGAAATTTTTCAATTTTCATGAACCGGTACATGTACAGTATAATATTCTACATTTCACAACTTCTACACTTACTAAGACACCAGAAAATTTACCTGATGATGGGTTTCTGGTCAGGCTGAGCTGCAGTCATTTGGAATTTGAGTGGACAGCCCACAGCGGTCATGCTAATAGGAATGGAAACTGCAGACATGTCTCCCACCTGCAACATTAAATAGAGGCTATATATTAACAATGATCAATGCTTACAAAACTGAGACAAAGTTAGGCCATAAAGTAAATGATAAAGACAGATCAACAAAACAATGACTCATATTTGATTTGGCATTTTATCATTTTACTTAAATTTTAGTTTTGGAGTTGTGCTAGTTTAATTATTTTGTTTAATTCATAGATTGAGTGCTGAATCAAATATACAGCAATTTCTGTCAAATTCAGTATCAATACAATTTCACAAGATTTGATCTCTAATAAATAATGTAACTCTTGAAAAATAAAAAAAAAAAGCACTGAAAGCATAATTTATGAATAACAATAAAATTCAAACTGAAACAATAGAATTAGAATATTACTGTATTTGATCAGTTAAGACTCCTAACTTAAGAGTCTTTTAAGTTGTATGAACATGCATGAACTGTTTTTCATCTTATAGTTCAGATAATCTGTTTGACACAGTGACGCTTCACTGAATTTCAGAAATAATCTCACTGACCTTGACAGTCATGATATCTGAGTATTTGCCCCACATATCACAAAAAGATGTCACGTCAATGATCTCCTCTCCAAAAGGCATCAATGTTCCTGTGGAAGGACTAGGCACAAATGCAGCTCCTAAATTTTGACTCAGCATGATTCGGTATGAATCTGTGTAAATAACAAGAAATTATTGTCATACAGTGGTAATTTTTAATTTACCTGGCCAACAAAAGACAATTGATTGGATTTCAGTTTTTAAGGAGCTGAAGAAATCTCCAGTCTATAAAAGGAGAGTGTGACCTACCACTGGCTGCCCTTGCTGAGGTCTTTGCCATAGGATCAGCAAGATTGGGGGTCTTCTGTAGAAGGGCCCTTCTCTGACAAGTGGTCATGTTTCTGTCTACAGGTTCTTGTGGTGGGGTGGGGGGTTTAGCAGAAAAGTACTCTATAGCTACAGTGTAAGGGGCCATAATGGCCGACTCATTTCTGATGTGGAGATACAGCTTTGAAGTAGACCCTACCTCAACTTCACCAAAGTCCAGGTGTAGATCAGCAGAAAAATTACTGCAAAATGCAAAATGTATAGCACAAGTTTATGAAATGAAACTCTTTTGTAATCTGCATTTGGCTAATGCACTGATGTTTGAGGCAATTTAATAAGTGTAGTTGATGATAGTTATTTAAGCTGTTGATTGCAACGTCACAATAAAATGAAGCAAAACATCATGTTTTGCGACATATTAAATATAAGGCGCCAAAAAAATCAATAGTTTCTCAGGCACTGCTGCATCAAGTCAAAAACTACCACATTGATCAATTTTATTGACATACAAAAAAGGGAAATAACTCAATTTTCTATTTTAAGGAAAGTTATTCCCCTTTCCATAAATGCTCATACTATACAGACGTTTTTATTAGATGAACAAAAAAAATGTAGAATAACATTATTTACTATTATACCTCATATATATAAATAATCACTAGTAAAATAGAATCTGATTGGTCGAGAAGGTCACGTGACCGTCTTGTTTGCCCTACAACAAAAAGTCGTGTTTCACGTCGTGTTCCACGATTGTGACGTCACAATTAAACGACTGAGGAGTTAGATTGTTTATATCATTGTTTGATTGTGTCGATTTAAATGTGTAAAATGTAAATATTTAGAATACTGTTTTCATGGGTGGGGTTTGAATGTTACTGGAGTGAAAATCACACTAACTTGTCACGTTGGAATGTTTTTTTTTCAAATAACGAGCGGCTAGTGGTGTAACTTACGTCTGTTTCATATTGTTCTTATCAAATGCATGTTTGCTTTATTCGTTGGATCATCTTTATAATTCCTGCATTGTGATTAATTCGGTATAATAAACAATTTATTGCATGAATGTTCGGGAGACATGAAGATTTCTTCGCCCATGAAAAATCATATTCCCCTCGAGCGTTGCCCTCGGGGAATATGATTTTTCATGGGCGAAGAAATTTTCATGTCTCCCTCACTATCATGCAATAAATGTACAATGTTGAATACATATTATAATTATAAAAAATGAATTATAAATGCTAATATCAAAATCCTGCCTCTCAATATTCAAAAGTCATAGGTTAAATTAAACTGCCTGGGGTATTTTTTGCAAAGTAGGTAAAAGGTCAAGGTCAAGTGAATTTTAATGCAGATATTATTCATACTGTCTTATAACAAACAGTGCACATGCTAAGTAGCATAGACTTAACCTTTAAATGTCAAAAATTTGCTGTATATCGGCACTATGAACTATTTTGAAAAGTAGATCAAAGGTCAAGGTCGATAACCATGGTAATTTACAAAAGCCAAAGTGCCACCCTATATATGTGCAAAATATCAAATCCATACCTCTTACAATTTTCGAGATATAGGGTGTCACAGACAGACAGATGCTGGGTAAAGTGATCCCTATGTGCCACTCTGCTCTGCTGGTGACACAAAAATTGAACAAAATACATATATTGCATTCAAATAAGATTAATTATATTATCCATTTATCAGCTCTGCTTACATGTCTCTGGTAAAACTCAGTTTGTGACTGTTAAATCAGCATTACTGGTTGCAAATAACAAATGAGAGGACATTTATTCCTAATTTAAAAGTGAAATGCATGATTTGATGCTTTATGTTGTGCTGAATTTCTGCAACATGAAACATAATGTTTTACCTTGCCATGTGTCCTTTTGAGGAGACCTTGAAGTTAGCAGACAGGCCCTTGACCTCACAGAACAAACCCAGGTATAAAGGACTCTCAATCCCCTCCACCATACATGGGATTCGAAGGTCAGAAAACTCACCCTGTCATACAAATGCCTCTACATCAATACACTTAAAAATATTTCCAAAAGCAAGCAATTTTAAGGTCACTTGTTATAAACAAACTTTTTTGAAATGTCATGAAAATAAACAAAAAAATGTTTATATAACTAAACTGAATAAGTTTATCCTTAACCTTTCTTAAGTATTTTACCCCTGATATCTCGAATGAAGTTTTGAACCACCGAGTTCAAGATAACAGGGTTTGACTGTAGTTCTGTGGAGAAAAGTTAGGTAAGTTGTGAAAATATGGATGTATTCATACTATACAAACTATAATACTATACAAACATACAAAGAAAGATACATTTGCTTGACAAACTTTGATCAGAAAATGTTCCTTAGATGAGCTAAAACATTTGTGTGAAGGAAATTTCAAGATATTATCAATGTTAATTTTTGATTTAAACTGCCCCACAACCTGATTTGTCTTTGAATGCTGTATAATTCTACACTTTTAATAGCATCAGCTATGTACATCAGTAAAACTCAGGAGATTTACAAGTTATATAAATTATCAGACCTCTTTGTATGCTACAAAGCTGACTGTTATGGGTTTTTCCTCCCGTGGGTTGAGCAGACCACTGGTAACATCCAGTTCTATACCACAATCTTCAGTATGGGTTCCCTCCACCTACAATTAATAGTAACATAGGCATCATTTAAATTTTCATCAAAAATTAAAGAAAAACTGTATTGATGCTGTAGACTTATTTTATCCTTGTTGGATTAATTTACTCTCTGTATGGTCACAAATTAAATTTTATTTAAGACATAAATGGCTATCCAAGAAATCTGCATAATCTACGACTTGCAGATTTAACATAAATTGTGATTCTGCAGAATTATGACCCCATGGAAAAAAAGTTTGTTTACGGGATCTACAAACAATATCATGCCTCTGATGATCTAAATACAGATAGGTGTTATTACAAGCTACTTATAGTACCAACTATTATTTGCAAAAATTTCTGTTTGAAATTTGTTATCTTGAAATCAATTAATTTATGCAGCTGAGGAAATATTCTACATAAATATACAATGAAATATTCACAAGGAAAACAAGGTCTGAAAAGTTGTGCATATTTCTCGCACACAAATAAAAGTTGATTTACATACATACAGCTAGTCTAATGAATACATTAATCACAACTCTTGGTGAAACAACTTATTAAGTATTTACTGAAATTATTGACTGATAAATGTATGTAATAACCTGTCCCAGAGAAAACTGAGATGGCAGTAAAGTTTGGTTGATGAGGATTGCCTGGTACTTGACAGGGACTCCTTTATAAACCTCATCCATGCAGATCTGACAGGAGGAAAAGCACACAGCTGGAGTCTGCACGTCCCCAACGGCAGCAACATTACTGAAGAAAGAGGGAAATCAAAAATTAACACAAATATGGTCAACAGACTATTAAACAGGCAAAATTAACTTATTAAGAAGTAGCCTCTGTTAGATATGGCACAATACCAGTATGTGATGATCAAACTAAGAAAAGAAAATTTAATACAGATTATAACCCACATTTTATTCCCATCTTCCACCTGCACTTCAAAGATGGCTTTAAGTGTGTGAACAGAAGAAGGCTTGAATTCTATGGTGATCTTCTTCCTCTCCAGAGGTTTTAACTCACCACCAGAGGGGGTGAATTTAAACTCACACTCAGCCTGTAGGAATAAACATGAACATTATTGACATATTGAATAACCAGAAGTCTCTGATGACACTGTAGCTCTACTTGTCTGTACATATAACAAAGGAAACGTAGCACTTGGATTTGAAACTTAGAAGCATGCAGCAATAATTAGAATTATGTATCTTAATGTAGTCTACTTCTGTGCCAAGTTATATTGAAATCAAACGAAAACTGTAGGAGGAGTAGCTTTTTGAAAGTATTTCACAGAAATTTCTATTTTTAGTAACCATGACAACACCATTCATAGAAATCAAAAAACAAAATACATATTATGTATCTAAGTGTATTCTAATTGTGTGCCAAATTAGATTGAAATCAGACCAAAACTGTAGGAGGAGTAGCGTTTTAAAGGAATTTCACAGAAATTTCTATTTTTAGTAACCATGGCAACACCGTTCATCAAAATCAAAAAACCGATGCACTTAATTATGTATCTTAGTGTAGTCTACTTGTGTGCCAAGTTATATTGAAAACAGAAAAAAAACTGTAGGAGGAGTAGCGTTTCAAAGGAATTTCACAGAAATTTCTATTTTTAGTAACCATGGCAACACCGTTCATTGAAATCGAAAACCAATGCACTAAATTATGTATCTTAGTGTAGTCTACTTGTGTGCCAAGTTATACTGAAATCAGACCAAAACTGTAGGAGGAGTAGTGTTTTAAAGGAATTTCACAGAAATTTCTATTTTTAGTAACCATGGCAATACCGTTCATCAAAATCAAAAACCGATGCACTAAATTATGTATCTTAGTGTAGTCTACTTGTGTGCCAAGTTATATTGAAATCAGACCAAAACTGTAGGAGGAGTAGCATTTTGAATAATTGATTACAGACAGATGGACAGACAGACAGCTAGACAGACGGATGGACGATGGACACCTTACTATTGCATAAGCTCTTCTGGTCTCTGACCAGTATAGCTAAAAATAAACACCTAGATGTTAAAGAGTACAGTATAGAACTAGTGGTACTGTGAGTGAACTCACAAATGATATTAATCCCCAGGGGCACATATTCTGGCCATTAGCAATTTTTATGTCAATTATGAGCTTCTCATGTTCTTCCCTTACAAAGATATTGACTAGCTACTGTGAAATCTTTATTGTGGTGGCTCAGTATTTGTGGAATTTGTGGCTACTCTGCATCCATGAATTCACATCCTCAATGAAAAAATAATTTGGGTTTAAACATGTTTAAGAGTCATCTTTCTTTTTGTAGATGTGACTGAATGCAAGAAATTACATCCTCTAGAACCTGTAAAAGTTAGGCAATCCACAAAAATTGGCCCCTACAAATTTTAATGATTCCACAGTTCTCCCCAGATAAAAATTTTACTCTTCTAATCTCCTTTTTGCCAGTGACTTCACCTTGGGTCAAAGTCATAGCACATGTTCAGGTCATAAGCCATCTTTTCTTGTAATTGGTTTCCAATGTGCAATCCACAAAAATTGGCCCCTACAAATTTTAATGATTCCACAGTTTTCCCCAGATAAAAATTTTACTCTTCTAATCTCCTTTTTGCCAGTGACTTCACCTTGGGTCAAAGTCATAGCACATGTTCAGGTCATAAGCCATCTTTTCTTGTAATTGGTTTCCAATGTTTGTCCTTAATAAATATATGGCTCAGAAAGGAATTGTACTTTTTTTCAGTCAGTGATTATGAACTTGTCCAAATAACCTTAAGTCAAGAAAAGGACACACCCTCAGGTCATAAGAAATTTTTGTATTAAGTATGCCATTGGGTTTCTAATGAATTTTCTACCACTGACCTTGAACTTGTACTAAGGACATCGGGTTAAGGTCATGACACAGCCCTTAAGTCATAAATAATTTTATTTCTGCAATGTATGAACTTCCAGTATCTCTCCATTTCAAAGTTATGGACAGAGACAAGAATAATATACTTTTTCTGAGTAACCTTGACCTTACCAAAATAACCTAGACCTGGTCAAGGTTACATCACATCCTTAGATCATAAGTAATTTTCATGTCAAGTGTGGGTTTCCAATGTTTCTCCATTAAAAAAAATTATGGTTAGGACATAATTTCACCTCAACACACAATATAACCGTTGGGGATTACAGAACCATGAATTTTCCCACATCTGTTTAAAAGTTACCATTGAGTCCTCACTGCTGTAATTATCAGACACATCCTGTATACTCCATACTGTCACAACCTGTGCAAGGTTTGTCAGAGTGATCTCCCTTGTCACAAATTCTCCAAGTCGCACCAAACCAAAGTCAACATCAGGCTCCTCCACTGCAATCTCTGGACCCTGTCAACAAAAATGATCAGTTAAAGCACAAAAATAAAAGTCAACATCAGGCTCCTCCACTGGGATCTCTGGATCCTGTAAACAAAAACGATCAGTTAAAGCACCAAACCAAAGTCAACATCAGGCTCCTCCACTGCAATCTCTGGATCCTGTCAACAAAAACGATCAGTTAAAGCCCAAACCAAAGTCAACTTCAGGCTCCCCCACTGTGATCTCTGGATACGGTCAACAAAAACGATCAGTTAAAGCACAAAACCAACGTCAACTTTAGGCTCCTCCACTGCGATCTCTGGATACGGTCAACAAAAAAGAATCACATTTATCACCAAACCAAAGTCAACTTCAGGCTCCTCCACTGTAAGCTCTGGATACTGTCAACAAAAACGATCAATAAAAGATGAAAAATTCAAAGGAAAAATATCTCTTACATATAATGCACTTTAGAAAAGCAATTACAATGGATCTATTTTTGTTTCATATCTAATGCTTATAAAGAGTAGGTAGAATCTTTAAATATGAGCCGCTTTCAGGATAGAAAATGTATTGGCAGTAATCAATGTTCAAATTCAAACAGAAAAACAGTAAAATATAATTAAAAAGCTCAAGGGCAAGTGTTATAAAATGAATGAATTCATAAAATGAATTTTCTTTATCCAAGAATGCTTTATACCAAGTTTCATTGAAATTTGACAATTGTTTCTTAACAGGGAATTGAAAAGGGAAAAATGAACTGTGAGTGAGATATGCTGATGGTTGATAGAAAAACTTCACTCAGAAAAGCATGTTGTTTTACTCACTAATGCACAACATACATGTAAAATAAAGTTTTCAGCATGAAAGCAAACCCCCAGCTAAAGGGTACACAATCTGGACTTATTTTCTTTCTGTGTCCCTATTCCATGTAACTCAAACAGTGGAAACAAATGGATTACTTTAAATGGTCAACTTTTTACATTCAATAATACAAACTTGAAAAAAATAATTTAAACCATAAACTTTCACTGTAGCCAAAGTCTTACCAAAAATGTTACAAGCTGAAGATAATCAAATAAGATTATATATATCTATCTATTAATAATCAGTCTTTATTTGAATGATAAACAGATAAACTATACTGATTAAGATTGTGACATATTTGAACAATCATTTGAAATTACTCTACCAAGAGTCCAAGTTTTAACATGTATAAACACAAAGAGGTGATATAAAGCCAATACTGACCTTGAATTCTGCTTCCACATGGAGATGGAGGGGTTCGTCTAAATTCATAACATAGCAGTACATTGTTTGGTCCACTTTGCCTGGTTCTGAACCTGTGATGCTTAATTCCAGGTCCATTGCCATTCCTGGGTCTACAATAAATAGGATGCAAGCTTTTATTTTTATTATCTTTTATTCACAACAAAATAAATCTTCAATATTAAAATTGAATTAGAATAAACATTTAAAAAAAAAAATTATGAATAAGAAAGAAAGCAGCCAATTACAAAATAGACCAAAAACAGATCTGGTTTGAAAGATATGAATCAAATACAATAAAAATCAAAGATGAATAGTCTATGTCTTTACTCAGGTACTTCCAATGAGCTCAGTTTTATATACAAAGATATACATGTACTTTTCCTATGTATTCTTATGGAAAAATTTGATTGCCCATTGTGGCCTCATCCTATCCCCAGGTGTCATGATTTGAACAAATTTAATTAAATCTTCACTAAGTTTCAACTTTTCTGGCTCAGTGGTTCTTGACAAGAAGAATTTTAAATACCCCCACTATTTCTTACTATTTCTTAATTATCTCCCCTTGGAAAAGAGTGTAGCACTACATTCGAAAAAAAAAATTGCAAAAAATTGAATTCCCTTTATCTGAGGGTACTCTTTTCCAAGTTTGTTTGAAATTTGCCCAATCATTCTGGAGAAGATAAAATCGTAAAAATTCTATGGAGACAATGATAGACAACAGTCAAATTTTGATCAAAAAAGTTCAATTGAACTCTCAGCTCAGGTGAACCCATGTTATACACATAAACTTTGTTAATTTTTAATTTCATTCCTTAAATAAATCGGATGTTTTGTTAAATTATCTTATGTTGATAAGTGTTATTACCAAGTTCTCCAAATGGTGGCTCCACTTCAATAATGGTCTTCTCGTGGTGTGGTTGCCACTGAAATGTTATGGTGGACCTGCTGTGGTTAGCCATCTGCAAAAAACAGAAAGAACTGGAAACAAACCTGAATGCACTGATCAGAATTGTCATTGACAGGGAATAACTGAAGAAAGAGTGTATCAGAGTGATGCATGATAAACTAGTGTGAATTCCTTATCTTACACAAGTACATGTAACTAACATCACAAAATGCCTTGTAGATGTCAAATCATGACAACAGGAATTCACAAAAAGACTGTTGATTTAGACTTTATACATGTATTTCAACAATAAAGACATAAAAAGGGGTAATTTTATTTTGTGAGTAGTATTTTTTGTGAAATCATGTAAAAATGAAATCTTAGTGTATATTTAGTTTTCTGTTGTACATCTGTTTTGTTCAAGCTGCTTCTTTGTTTTTTTTTTTTTTTTGTCATGCCCCTGTATCGAAGATTCAGAGACATACAGTTTTTGTCCTGTCCATTCGTCTGCTGTCTGTTTGTCCGCAAAAGCTTAAACATTACTCATAACTTTTGATTGGTTGGAGCTATCATAATGGCTTTCATATTTCACATGTGTATTCCTTGTGACAAGACCTTTCTTTGGATACCAACAACTTTGACTCTTTTACCTTGACCTTGGAGTTTGACCTACTTTTGAAAAACTTTAACCTTGGCCATTACAATTGGTGCTAGGGCTTTCATACTTAATATGTATAATCCTTGTGACAAGACCTTCCTTTGGATACCAACAACTTTGACCCTTTGACCTTGACCTTGAAGTTTGACCTACTTTTGAAAAACTTTAACCTTGGCCATTACTTTAGAACAATTAGTGCTAGGACTTTCATACTTCACATGTATAATCCTTGTGACAAGACCTTCCTTTGGATACCAACAACTTTGACTCTTTTACCTTGACCTTGGAGTTTGACCTACTTTTGAAAAACTTTAACCTTGGCCATTACAATTGAACAATTGGCACTAGGGCTTTCATACTTAATATGTATAATCCTTGTGACAAGACCTTCCTTTGGATACCAAAAACTTTGACCCTTTGACCTTGACCTTGAAGTTTGACCTACTTTTGAAAAACTTTAACCTTGGCCATTACTTTAGAACAATTAGTGCTAGGGCTTTCATACTTCACACGTATAATCCTTGTGACAAGACCTTCCTTTGTATACCAACAACTTTGACCCTTTGACATTGACCTTGGAGTTTGACCTACTTTTGAAAAACTTTCACCTTGGCCAAACTTTTGAACAGTTGGTGCTAGGGCTTTCATATTTAACATGGCTATTCCTTGTGACAAGACCTTCCTTTGGATACCAACAATTGTAATCTACTGACCTTGACCTTGGAGTTTTACCTACTTTTGGAAAACTTTAACCTTGACCATAACTTTTGAACAGTTGGTGCTGGGGCATTTAATTGTCTATTCCTTGTGACAAGACCTTCATTTGGATACCAATAATTGTAGTCTATTGACCTTGACTTGGAGTTTGAACTACTTTTGAAAAAATTTAAACTTTGGGCATAACCATTAATTTTGACCATTTGACTTTGACCTTGATGATTGACTTACTTTTGAAAAAAAATTTAACTTTTTCCATATCTATTCAATGGTTGTTGCTTGAGCTTTCATATTCCTCAGGTATATTCCTCAAGACAACACCTTACTTTGGGTACCAACATATTTGATTTGCATTTTAGAAAGTGTTACCTTTGCTATAAGTTGCCATACAGGGACATCAGTGTTTCACAAACACATCTTGTTTTTTTTGTTTGTTTGTCTGCAGTTTTGGCTAAAATTGCAGTTTCTATAAAATGACTAGTACTAGTTTTTGTACAGTAGTATGTACAGTGGTACTTGCTGTGACTAGTTCTAGTACATGTATCTGTAACAGTGGTACTTATAGTGACTAGTCTCTTTATAGTGGCACTTACTGTGACTAGTTTCTGTACAGTGGTGCATATTGTGACTAGTTCTAGTTTCTATACAGAGGTACATACTTGCTGTGACTAGTTTCTGTACAGTGGTACTTACTGTGACTGGTTTCTGTACAGTGGTACTTGCTGTGACTAGTTTCTGTACAGTGGTACTTACTGTGACAATTTTCTGTACAGTGGTACTTACTGTGACTGGTTTCTGTATGCTTGTACTTATTGTGACTAGTTTCTGTACAGTGGTATACTTACTGTGACTTGTATCTGTATAATGGTACTTACTGTGACTAGTTTTTGTACAATGGTACTTGCTGTGACTTGTTTCTGTACAGTGGTACTTGCTGTGACTAGTTTTTGTACAGTGGTACTTGCTGTGACTTGTTTCTGTACAGTGGTACTTGCTGTGACTAGTTTTTGTACAGTGGTACTTGCTGTGACTTGTTTCTGTACAGTGGTACTTGCTGTGACTAGTTTTTGTACAGTGGTTCTTGCTGTGACTTGTTTCTGTACAGTGGTACTTGCTGTGACTGGTTTCTGTACAGTGGTACTTACTGTGACTGGTTTCTGTACAGTGGTACTTGCTGTGACTAGTTTTTGTACAGTGGTACTTACTGTGACAATTTTCTGTACAGTGGTACTTATTGTGACTGGTTTCTGTATGGTTGTACTTATTGTGACTAGTTTTTGTACAGTGGTACTTACTGTGACAATTTTCTGTACAGTGGTACTTGCTGTGACTGGTTTCTGTATGGTTGTACTTATTGTGACTAGTTTCTGTACAGAGGTATACTTACTGTGACTTGTACCTGTATAATGGTACTTACTGTGACTAGTTTTTGTACAATGGTACTTGCTGTGATTATTTTCTGTACAGGGGTATACTTACAATGACTTTTTTCTGCACAGGGGTACTTACTTTAACTGGTTTCTGTACAGTGGTACTTATTGTGACTAGTATCTGTACAATGGTACTTACTGTGACTAGTTTCTTTATAGTGGTGCCTACAAGGTTTTGGCCTGGAGCATACACAGCATAGGGATGAAGAACAACATTCAGAGGTACACTTTTACCTTTGACCTCTATCTCCAGAGCGGTCACATCTTTGAACTGCTTCACTATTGAGATATATATAAAAACGAAAAACGATGTGTAATTTTCCTTAACTTAACATCAACATTTACCATATATAGCTAAAGACTTATTAAGACCTATTTTTAAATATTAAATACTTCTCTGAATACTATGGAATAACAGTCAAACCTTGTTATATTGAACTCAAAGGGACCGAGAAAAACCTTTGAGATATCCAAGGATTTGAGATATCCAGGGTAAAATACTTAAAAAATAAGGGGTTGGGATTTCTTATCACTTCGACATATCCATAGTATTTGAGATATTGATTTTGAGATACTGAAATTTAAGTGTTTTATAATTTCTGAGGTTCAATGTTCATGGGCAACCAAAATTTTACAAGTTAGTGGGTACATAGTCTCATGAGTAACTAATATATATAGAATATTCAAACCAATACATTGATATAACTTATGTAGATCACTTTGTTTTGGTTTTGTTTTTTATGAGATAACAATTTGTATATATACAGCTGTGTAACTAAACAAGACAAAATTTTGACAACTGTGGTCATTGCTGTTTAGTCTCCAAATAAAAAGCTTACAATCTGAGCTTATCTGAATACCTCTTACTAGTGTTCACTAAATTACTTACAAGCTGAGCTTATCTGAACATCTCTTACTAGTGTTCACTATATTACTTACAATTTGAGCTTATCTGAACACCTCTTATTGGTGTACACTACATTACTTAACAATCTGAGCTTCTCTGAACATCTCTTGCTAGTGTTCACTAAATTACTTACAATCTGAGCTTATCTGAACACCTCTTACTAGTGTACACTATATTACTTATAATCTGAGCTTATCTGAACACCTCTTACTAGTGTACACTATATTACAATCTGAGCTTATCTGAACATCTCTTAATGGTGTACACTATATAACTTACAATCTGAGCTTATCTGAACACCTCTTAATACTAGTGTACACATTATATTACTATCAGTTATGAACATCTCTTACTTGTGTACACAATATATTACTTACAGCCTGAGCTCATGTACACCTCTTACTAGTAGTGTACACAGTATATAACTTACAGTCTGAGTTCACGAACAACTCTGTCTAGTGTCTTGAATAAATACCAGTAGTTTATAATCTGAGCTTATAAACACTTCTTACAAGTGTACACAATATATTTTATTTACAGTCTGAGTTTATGAACATCTCTTACTAGTGTACACAATATAGTACTAACAGTCTGAGTTCATGAACATCTCTTACTAGTGTACACAATATATTTTATGTACAGTCTGAGTTTATGAACACCTGTTACTGGTGTACACAATATACATTACTTACAGTCTGAGTTCATGAACATCTCTTACTAGTGTACACAATATATATATATTACTTATTACTTACAGTCTGAGTTCATGAACATCTCTGTCTAGACTAAGTTCATGAACATCTTTGTCTAGTGTCTTGAATAAATACTTTATAATCTGAGCTAATTAACATCTCTAACCAGTGTACACAATAGATTACTTACAGTCTGAGTTAATGAACACCTTTTACAATAAGTGCACACAATATAGTACTTACAGTCTGCGTTCATGAACACCTTTTACTATAAGTGTACACAATACAGTACTTACAGTCTGAGCTAATGAACATCTCTAACCAGTGTACACAATAGATTACTTACAGTCTGAGTTCATGAACACCTTTTACTATAAGTGTACACAATATAGTACTTACAGTCTGAGTTCATGAACACCTTTTACTATAAGTGTACACAATATAGTACTTACAGTCTGAGTTCATGAACACCTTTTACTATAAGTGTACACAATATTGTACTTACAGTCTGAGTTCATGAACATCTCTGACATAGTCTCCTCATCCTCCTCAGTTTCCTCTCCACTTGAACTGTTCTGTTCCTGAGACTGCTTCTGACTCTTGGCAGACTGTGCTGAACCATTTCCATTGTATGGTGGCACTTGTTGCAATAGAAGATGAAGCACACTGTGGAATATATCTACCTGTAAAACAAAACCAAAACTACAATCAGTTGAAGAAATATATGATCATATACAATTTTGGACTCTTTATGTGGTGAATATGGTTGTTTTCACCAGAAAATATTGACCAAGGTGAAGGTTCTTCTGTAGTAGAAAAATAAAAAATGTCCAGATTATATGTTTATAACTTCTATGTTTCCCTTTCGTTGTATTCAAAATGTTTGGAAAATGATTCTTTCTCTGCGTATAAACATTTTTTACCTTTCGACCTTGACCTTTGAGTTTGAACCACTTTGAAAAACTTTAATCTTGGCTGTATATCTTTTGAATGGTGGGTGCTAGGACTTTCATGACTTGTCTATTCCTTGTGACAAGACCTTACCTTGGGTACTAACATTTTTTACCTTGGAGTTTTTTTTACCTTGGAGTTTGAACTACATTATTTTGAAAACACTAACCTTGCCTACATCTTTTGAATGATTACTGCTAGGGCTTCCTTGTCAAAAAACCTTTCCTTTGATACTGTTATATTTTGTCCTCATGACACTGACCTTGGCGTAAATTGGCCTACTTTTTGAAAAACTTTAACCTTGGCCATATTTTCTGAATGGTACTAGGACTATTATATTTCAAATGTATATTCCTTGTGACAAGACCTTTCCTTGGGAATCACCCTTTAACTTTTCCGCCTGACCTTAGTTCAAGTGATCCCTTTATTCAATTGGTGGTTTCATTTAATGACCTTTCCATGCAGGTTAAGTCAATACATTCAATGGAAAAATAATGACAGATAATATCTGTTCAAGTTAGGTGGACAATAGCCTTGGCTTTTTATGCTTCGATAAAGTGATCCAATAAACTGTAGATGTCTATATATAATCTTTGTCCAACTGTATAATTTATTTATGTTAGGGATGGCAATCTAATACAGAAATCCTTAATCAATTGCAAGGTATGTTCAAACCAATTATCCCATTAATTGCATCAAAATATGCATTCACAATTTCTGGACACTTTTTTCAAGTAAGATCTATTCAATTATACAAGAAAACTAAAAATATGTGAAAATGCTTACTTTACAACAATCAGAGATTTTAAACTTGAATATGGAATGTAATTAAATTTACACATATTTAATTATTTCCACTACCAGATGACAAATTTTCTAACCAATTACATTTGTTCCAACCAAAAAAACGGGTAGCTGATTACAAATTGCCATCCCTAATTAATATAACTGTTTCATTATTTGAATGAGAATTTGCAACATACAATTTTGTACAGACATTAATTATCTTGACCTGTTAACCTTGACCTACTAAATATGAAGTTTTTTGATAAAAAAAAAAAATGTTCACAAACAGATGGACAGGCAGACATGGTGATAATAAAGCACTGTCATTTTGGTGCAAATATGTCTGGTGGAGTGATGGTATAGACAGACTTAAGACTAACCACTGGAGGGGCAAAAGTGATCTTGAATTCCATGTCCTTTGCTGGTGGGAGCATGCCACTGGGAGGGTGGACACTGAAGACTGAATCCACATCTGGCACTCGGTCAGGTTTCTTATCCAGTTCATCTGTGTCAGTCATGTCTGGTTTGTAAATCATCCACTGAAATGGCAGCTCCACATCCCTGTCAAAAAACAGGGAAAAGTTGAGTATAAATCAAGCAAGAAATTTAATTTGTTTCAAATAGATGTCAATATTTGTTAAACACACAACTTACGTTTTATTTTTAACAACAATACTCCTGTCCGTGTAGGTAAAAGGATTCAGCTCATCAAATCTGATCAGATTCTCAGCAGACACATCAGATAGTTCACCAGGCAATACAGCCGACAGTCCACGCTCTACAGATAACAGCTCAACTTCTGCCTTCTGGGCTTCACCTAAAATATAGAAAAAAAAATCTTAATGTGTATTTACCATTTATAAATGGATGCTTGTTGAAGAACAATTATATCTTATTTATTTTTTTCTAGCTGCAAATGCATCTGTTACAAAAATGTAAAAATAAATAGATATAATTTTTTCATGAGGCAATAAATATGTAAAAAAGAATTCATTGTCATTCATTTACCAGAATATCTTTCTTTCAATGAATCATGATAAAGCTTTGTGTTTATGGAGTTGTGTATTACCATAAAACAGCTATTATTAGTGACAATTAATTTGTCAGTTTGAAATACTGTCAAGACTTTTAATTTTTGTTACAGTGGAAACATTCACATGGATAGCCAATTTAAAAAATGGTTTGCTGCATAAAATATTCACAACTAAAAATAAAGGTTGCAAAACTCATGGACATTTCTCATACGTGAATAAAAGTTAGTTTACAGCATCTGATTGGCTTCTTTTTTAAATAAATGAGGACTGTCTGTTGTCTACCTTTAAGTGTGAAGTGCTTCACATGGCAGTTGTCACAGACAATAGTTATCTCCTGACTATAACTGCGGACAGAATGAGGAGCAAACACAACCTCCAGCATCCCAGTGTCACCCTTCATCAGCTCCAGCATGGAGGGGCGAACATCAAAAGGGGGGATCTTTACATTGCCATTGGTGACCACACTCTGACACAAGAAAAGAAAACCCTCCTCACTTGGTAACAATTTTATTGCAATATGCATACACAGTTCAAATAATAGCCTAGGTAAATATATCATATGTAAATTATGAAGAAAGAAACACCATACAGTCAAAGGAGAACACTGTATTATATATATGTACTATTAGTTGACCATAACCTGCACCATTATAACTGTGGACTTACCTTGAAGTTGGTTGCTGGCCAGGAAGAGCGGGGTATAACACAGAAGCGTCCACTTCCTCCCTCATTCTTCACAATGAACTGACCAATGTGGACACCTCCCACCAAACAGTGCCCAACATCCAGAACCTTTGGTACTATCAGTAGACAAAGAAAAGTTAATGAATAATATAGTTAAAAAAAAACACCATAATAATGATCATAAGTTACTCATACATATTGTGGATCATTTTTCTGTTCTGCAGAATAAAAAGTTTGATCTAGATCTGTATAATTACATGATATGAGAGGAGGCTGACGTCGACCCTGCAGGGGGACAATAATGGGTTCAGAGGACTGAGTCTGGATCCTTATCTCATCATCATAGTCAATCAAGGAGTCAGGTGCAAACCTGATACCATAGTGACAGCTCATCCCTGGGGCCACTAACCCATGCTCCCCCGGAAACTGACCTGTAAATTCAGATAGAAACTGAACCTTAAAACAACTCTAACAAGGGGAACTGAACTTTTCAAAGTAGCAAATTACAATTACAATGATAAGTTCAAATCTATATAAGATTATATCTCTGAATTTTCTTGATTTTTTCTTTTAATTAGAGATAGAGACTTGTGGAATTATTCATGATTAACACACCAAGTCCAATATTAAAGTAGGGTGAAGATGGAGGCAAAGCACGACACTGACGCAGACAAGCTGACACATTTTTCAACTCCAGGGTGATCTGAAAGAAAGGGTTACAACTCTTAAAAGTAGTTAATTACACTATTAGAGTCATCAAATTTTGAAATATAAAGGCACAATACTAAAAAGTTACCGATACAAAATTATGTGGAATTGTTTAAAAATTTGGAACTGAGTGTCCTACCTCATAAACCTGGCCCACTTTGTAATCTGTGAACCTGACAATGGGTGGAGAGACAAGAAACACAACTGAAGGCTCAGGTACCCTGTAAAAGAAACATTATAACACCGATATAATACACTCAAGTATAGCATCCTCAGATATTAGCAAATTATTGAAAACTTCAGATTAAAAAAAAAATCCTTTGATAATCTTCCCTGCCAACTACATGTATTCTCCTTATAAAACTTGATTAAATATTTTAATGTTGCCACTGAAGAGAGATAATCTCTATTTGATTTCATTTTTATCTATTGGATAATTAGTAAAATTTCTACACAAATTAGCTTACAAGGAACCATATGTTTCCTTATCATGACAGCATTATAAACAATTTATAAATAATAATAGAGTGAATAAATAATAATTTTAAGATTATTACGATTCAATGAAAGTAAATCAAAGAAACTGTATCTACTAACAAGAGGCCCAAGGGCCTTAACGGTCACCTGAGTATAACACAACAATTTAGAAGTTAAATACACTGATAGATGAAGCATTGTTGCCCTAAAGCAAGAGAAGTAGGAAGATCAGGATCAACAAAATAATTAGTCTAGTATTCAGTATCAAGTCATAAATTATGTTCTAATCTGTCCCCCACTTAACACTATCACCATGCAGACTATAAACAAACTATTAGTGCTTCTGTACTATTTTTAAACCCATATTAAGACCTCTAGCATTGACCTCTCTTATGGTCTTTGAAGAACTTTTAATAAGATAAGTTATTTTTGTCTCATTTTTATTTATCTATTACTTACAGGTCTACCTGATTATTAAAACTAAGAAAGTACTTTTTTAATTATACGATAAACATTCTTGCATAATTATCTTATTCTATAATTAACCTTTCAAATACATTATTTACAGTGATTAATTATCAAAGGTGAATGGAAAAGGGGAATAACTTCTCTCAGTAGAATACAAGTTAATAGAGCCCTGCCGAGGACCAGAATGCTTAGACGAATGATCCAGATGTTAAAAAATCTGGTAGAAATATGCTTACTCATATCATTTAAACTTTTACTCAGTTTGCTTCCGATATGCCCAGAAGCAGAGAAGAATTTCACAGGTACAATGCATTTTCACTACAGATTCAACAAAGCCTTACCCTAACACCAGAACCCAAGACCAAAGGTCAAGAAATTTACAAATTTGAAAGAGTTACCCTCATCATCATAACTATGGACTTCAAAGAATTAATTAACACTTTTCCACTATATTATCACCCCCCCCCCCCCCCTCGTTATGCCAGAACCCCTGACCCTAGGACCACAAGATTTAAAAATTCTGTTCGAAGCTCCCATTTTCATCATAGCTAAGCAATTTATTTATCAGCTCAACACTTAGGAGCAGACAGGATTAGTTAATGATTAATTAATAGAATTAATGCTTTTTCACTATATAATCAATAGAGCCCCCCCCCCCCCCTCCTCAAGAATCCCAAAAACTGAGGCCATATATTTAAAAATTTTGAAAGAGGCATCCTTGTCTATCATAATCATGCACTTAGTTTGTTTAAATAATCTCCAGTAGCAGAGAAGAAGATTTTCAAAGAATCAATGCATTTTCACTATATAATCAATAGAGCCCCGCCCTAACACCAGAACCCCTGACCCTGGGCCCATGAAATACACAATTTTTGAAAAGGCATCCTTATGCATCATAACCATGCACTTAGTTTGTTTAAATAGTCTCCAGTAGCAGAGAAGAAGATTTTCAAAGAATCAATGCATTTTCACTATATAATCAATAGAGCCCCGCCCTAACACCAGAACCCCTGACCCTCGGGCCATGAAATTCACAATTTTGGAAAAGGCATCCTTATGCATCATAACCATGCACTTAGTTTGTTTAAATAATACCCAGGAGCAGAGAAGAAGATTTTCAAAGAATTAAAGCATTTTCACTATATAATCAATAGAGCCCCGCCCTAACACCAGAACCCCAGACCCTGGGGCCATGAAATTCACAATTTTGGAAAAGGCACTTTTGCTCATCATAACTATGTACTTAGTTACTTTATTTAAAACCCAGGAGCAGAGAAGAAGATTTTCAAAGAATTAATGCTTTTTCACTATATAATATATACAGCCCCGCCCTAACACCAGAACCCCTGACCCTCGGGCCATGAAATTCACAATTTTGGAAGAGGCACTCTTGCTCATCATAACTATGTACTTAGTTCCTTTATTTTATACCCAGGAGCAGAGAATAAGATTTTCAAAGAATTAATGCATTTTCACTATATAATCAATAGAGCCCCGCCCTAACACCAGAACCCCTGACCCTTGGGCCATGAATTTCACAATTTTGGAAGAGGCACTCTTGCTCATCATAACTATGTACTTAGTAACTTTATTTAATACCCAGGAGCAGAGAAGAAGATTTTCAAAGAAATAATGCACTTTCACTATATGATCTATATAGCCCCACCCTGGGGCCAGAACCCCTGACCCTGGGGCCATGAATTTCACAATTTTGGTAGAGTGTTCAATGCTTATTACAATGATGCCAACAGTTTGACTGCTTGATGTTCAGGAGTAAAGAAGAAGATTTTTAAAGATTGCATTATTTTTAGTGGTTTTAGCCCCACCCCTCAGGCCCCGGGGGGGCAGGGACCACGAAATTCATAATTTTTGTTCCCCTTCACCCATAGATGCTATATACCAAATTTGGTTGAAATTGGTTGAGCGGTTCTAGAGAAGAAGTTAAAAATGTTCAAAAGTTAACGCATGACGGACGACGCACGACGACGGACAAAAACAGATAGCAATAGGTCACCTGAGTGACTCAGGTGACCTAAAAATTGTATTTGTACAAATATTGTACAGATATTTGTACTTGTAAAAAAAAAAAGTATACTTAGGCAATTACATTTACATTAATCGTCATTTTGTATGTCAATTAACTACTGTAATCATCTGAAGAAACAAATGAGAAAAAAGAAAAAAGAAAATTTTCCTAAGCATGCATGCTACAAGTTTAACTTCTCGGTTGCCATATTACACTTAAGATATTGATACACTTAGGACAATGAAGCAACATAAAAATCATCAAACAATTAACATACACACTGCAGGTCTCTCTCCGCTGAATACCAATTTCTTTTGGTTTTGGTTTGTTGTCCTTAATTAGAGTTCTGCCACCAGGGGGAGCTGATGGGGGAACATGCCGTGGATTACGTTGGAAGTTTATCTTGGCTTGTAAGTTCGCCAGGTCATTTCTGTCCATTTCTCTTTTTTCCTCACTCAAATGCAGCTTCCATGCAGCCACAGGTTTGTTCAGCTTTTAAAATATACACATGCCATACAAAATACAAAAAAACTCTAAAACTACATGGACAGGTAATAGCATGTAGCCATTATTACATCTTTATAATTCAGTTCTCATTTAGAGACCAGTAAAAAAAGATGCATTTATTAAAAGTAGAGAGCTGCTGTTATAATGGGAATAATAAAGCCCACAGGGCAATTAAAGAAAGGCCATTTTTTACATGTAACTTTAGCTTAAAATAAACTTCTTGCAAATATATATTTAACTACAAATCACATCAATCTTTATTTTAAGCATGACCTCCTGATGCTCCTCCAATACAATTTTTAGTCTTATCTTTTATAATTTGAAGTTCTGAATCACACCCTTGACCTAATTTACATGACCTTTTTCCTGGGCCATGACATATCCTATGAAGATCAACCCTCAAGCCAAGTTTGTAAGTTGCTCCATTACAAAATAATGGTATGGACAGGAATTTCACACTTCAAACACATTGACCCTAATCTTATCCCAATGACCATGGGTCAGAGTTGAAACCTTCTGATCTCGTAACTAATGTTTCTTCACTTCAAAGTCATGGCCAAGGCAAGAATCCTTAAATGCTACAGGGTCAAGACCCACCTCTGTTCACAATTAAGCTACCACTGTATATCCTGTAGTTTTCTTTAAAACAAATCTCAGTCTCAGAGTTATGATTTCAAGACAAGATTATTCTTCTTATTCCTGTTAGATATTACAAATGGTTGATGAAACCTCCAAAAAGCCATAACTGCATGTTTTTCAAATTTTGCAAAATCAATCTGAAAATACTAGTACCAGGTGCATTTGTTTAATTGGTATACATAATATACAGTTGAACTTCGGTATCTCGAATACCATGGATATGTTGAAGTGATTTGGAAGTCCCAACTACTTATTCTTTGAGTAAATTTACCCTCAATATCTTGAACCCTGGGATATCTCGAAATTTTTTCTTGATCCCATCGAGTTCGAGATAAAGAGGTTTCACTGTATATATATATAATTCAGGCAAATAGAAACTATTGAATAGTTTCAGGGAAAATCTTTGGAAAAAAAATTTCTAGGGACAGATAGACAGCTAGAAAGACTGACATGGTGATGTCAGTACACATTGTACCTCCCTCACACATCTGCAAAGAGTATAATCATAGGACAAACTCTCAGTAAAGCTGAGCTACTTCTTAGCTATACAATGTGCACTTCTGACCAGCTCCTTAACAATACAGTGAGACAGGGTACATTATTGTATCTAGAAATGTTGTCCCAAGTCAAAGTGAACTGCTTATTTTAGCAGTTTATAAACAGTTATTAGGCAGTCTGGAGGTTTTTGGGCAGTTTTTATGCAGTTTCTAACTGTCTTAGTCTTAGCATTCCTTAAAACTGCTAACAGACTGGTTAAGAAACTGCTAAGAATTTGTGTTAGCAGTTCAGTATTGAACAAACTTAAGCAGTCAAACAAGCAGTTTCTCAAAACTGCTAAAAGTCCAACTAATTCATTTCAACTTCTCACATGAGGAAATACAATACTTTGTCACTCTTGGTGGTCCTTGCTTTCACTAGCCTTCATTACAATTGCCCATGTGTTACTGTTAATGCATCACAAATAATTGGGGGCCAGGCAGGAATTTCTTATACAGAAAATAAAATTAGAAAAAAAACAAAGATATATTTAAAATCTTACTAGAAATGATACATTAGTTTATAATAAATTGAGGCTACATATTAAAAAAGGCATGCACACATGAGCTTCTAATCTTTATCCCATCAACTTGCAAATGCAGTCCTCTTGTTATAGTCCCTGAAACATTCTACTTTCCCAATTGAATGGTGAATGAACGATGAGCGAATGCAGAGCGAACGGTGAGTGAACGGTGTGTGAATGGTAAACAGAACTGGGTGAACGCTAAGTGAACGGTGAGCGAACACAGAGCACGAACGGAGCGCAAACACAAGCGCAAAGTGAACACAATGTGAACGCAAGATAAACGCAATGTGAACGCAAGATAAACGCAAGGTGAGCAATTTTTTTCAATGCCTCAGGTGTTTCCTTCATACTGTACATATTCTATAATCAGATTAGAAATAAAATAAATTGAAAAAAATAAGAAATAAAGGCTGAACGATTAGTGAACGGTGAACGAACAGTGAGCGAACGGTGAACACACAGTCAGCGAATGGTGAACGCTTTGTGAATGGTGAACGCGAACGATATGTGAACGGTGAACGCAAACTGTAAACGGAGAGCGAACGGTGAACGCACGCTGAACGCATGGTGAACGAACAGTGAACAAACGGAAAAATGGGAAAGTAGAACGTTTCAGGGACTGTACATTAACAACCAGCTGTGTCCTCCACGGTTGCTTGAAACTAGGGTTGTATCCAATGAGGTGAGCCAGTCAAGATTTGTGCGCTCTTTCCAGACCAGTTCAAAATTTCAGTACAAATTAATGTTTGTGAGGGTATGAAATTATATAGATTTAACAGTAAAGAAGTGAAATAATTGCTTTGGGAAATACATATCTGTCATCACCATATTGGATTGGATGTGAACATTAATTAGTTACAAATGTATCTGAACTCCATGAGATAGGAAATATTAAAGATCAATTTAATATGACCATGCAGCAACAATGAAAAAGGGTGCAAGGAAAATTTTTAAAGATTTGCTTGCACTAAAGTATTTTGAGAAAAGGGTAAGTGGGCTTGTGATATAATATATTATATCCCCTCTCTCATTTCAGATTACTAATTATAAAACAGATAATCTGTTTGTATTTTAATTATTAGTACTTAATTTAAATATAAACATGGTAAATGCAGTATGTTATCAGTAATTACAGTATACATATGTACATGAATTAATTTACATCATTAGATAAATAAATAAAATAAAATTTAATGTTAATTATAATTCTGAATATAGGATCAAACATTCCTCAATATATTGCAAACTCTCTTCAACAAGACGAACAGATTCTTTTAAAGAACTATATAGTCAGTTATATTAGGTCAAATTGTAAAGCTAAATGCAGTAATTTATAATTCTTTCAAGATAAGTGCTTATATTGATATATATGATCTTTTTATTGACTGGCATTTCATAAGCTTGCAACTGAACCATGAAAACTATTATAATTAAATATAAATTCAAAATTTTTGCAGATAAAAGTTAATTGCTGATTTGGGATCTGCAGATTAGCCCCCTATATTGACCAAGCTCTAAAGTTGGCACTCGTTTATAAGAAATGCAAGAAAATTAACTTGATGAAAGGACTTATTTACAATTTATACCTGTATGATAATTGTATGTCATAATTGAGTGGAAAATGAAATCCTTGAAAAATGATGTTTATTCATCTGCACAATGTTTAATACTGAGCTAAATTCCCATCTGTAATGTTATTTTTATGAATAAATCACCCTGGAAGCATAAATTTTATGCATTTTCATATTCATATATGGGTGGAGTTATCTCCTTATAAGTTGACAAGAAAACTGCATATAGCAGTTTCTTACCAGTTTTTAAGCAGTTTATATATATTCATATTTATATGTAGGTGGAGTCATTTCCATATATTTCCATTTCGATTTGTTTTCTCTGTGATAACTCTTTGAAAGTTAGGAGAGTTGATTTCTTGATCATTCCACTCGAACGCAAATTTCGCCAAGCGAAAGGTCAGGAGCTAAGAAGGCCTAATATGCATGTAATTCTCGTGCGGCTGTCTTTGTGTCTGAATCTAAGGAGGCCTAATATGCATGTAAATCTCGTGCGGCTGTCTTTGTGTTTGACGTCAGTGGGCGGGGACTATTGAAATTGACATGTAAGGCCTCGTGTAATTTAAATCTATTAAGTCTACATTTTTAAAATCTAAATTTACAATTTTATTTCACAATGAAATGGAAATATAAGGAATCACTGTCTAGTTAGTAGAGTATGCCAGGGACATCAACGATAGTTGGAAACGTGGGATAATTTATGCATAACGGGCTTCGCCCGTTATGCAAATTATCCCACGTTTCCAACTATCGTTGATGCCCTGGCATACTCTACTAACTAGACAGTGATTCCTTAAATAAGTATAGCAAAGGAAACTGAAGATAGTAGTTGCTTAGCAGTTTTTAAGCAGTTCACCTTAACCTTCCTATTGACTGCTAGGATACTGCCATGCAAGGAAACTGCTTAGCAACTGCTAGGATACTGCTAATGATCTGCTTAGCAACTGCTTAAACGTTGGACTGCTAATAAAAACTGCCTAATGATTAGCATGCCAAAACCTTCAGCCAACAACAGAGGAGAAGGCTAGTAAACTGTCTAAAAACTGCTAAAGCATTGAACTGTGAAGGTTAAAAAACTGCCAAAGAACTGCCTTCCACTTTGATTTGGGGTAGTATGAACTTACAGACTCAACAACAGGAGATGGGGTCTCTTCATTTTGTATCTCTGTGTTTTCAGCCTCGTATAGAGCTAGATCTGTGCTCTGCCGGAGGAACTCCGGGAGAAATAATGGTGTGTCACCCCGTCTCTCCAATGACCCAAGGTCCTTTCTCTGCTGAGATGAAACAGTGTCTCTGGCATAACTTGGCACCAGGGGCTCTGCAATATACAAAACAAACTCTGAACTCTAATTTTGTTTCTGTTTCTAAAGTAAAATTACCTTAAAATATGTAAGCAGGATATATATATATATATATATATATATATATATATATATATATATATATATATATATATATATATTATATATATATATATATATATATATATATATATTATATATATATATATATATATAAAGTATTTTGTATATGTTTATGTCATGCTTGAGCGCCACACTAACAAAGCATTGTTTCTAAAAATAACTAAAGACGTGGTTTGTTAGTCTTTCATTTCTGCTGATTGTAATTTCTTATAGTTTGTTAGACTTGGCATCTTGCAACAGTGTTTTCTTGGTATAGCATTTGCATCTAAGCACATGGGAAATTATTTAACAGACATGTTTAGGGTTGAATTATCTACAGTTGTAAAAGTTTCTAAGAACAGCTTATCTCTTTACATCCGGTGTTAGACTATTTGCGCCAATTTTCAAACCACCAGCAGGTCAGAAACAAAGAGATTGGTGATGGGACATACAAATTGTATATATAGGTCCCTGATTGGAGAAAGCAGCAACAGGATGGATCTGGATATAGAGGAGGTATTTATTGTGTGACATTAAGTTCTTTTTTACCTCAAATAAGGCTGGACTACAGTAAACTTCTTTGAATGTGGATATGTATGTTTTTATTGGGTTTTTATTTATTTTCAGATTGACCTAAATCCCTTCACTATCTTAGATCAGTTAAGCATTGGATAAAGTGATGAATACTTGAAAATTATAAACAAGAACATGAAGAGTTGCATCAAGGCCAGAAGAAGAAGATATTGCAGCATTATGAAGCAGGGACTATTTAAATAGTATTTAAACAGCTTAAATACATGAAAAACATCTTTTGTGTGAAAAATTCTATGAAGATGTGATTAGAAAAGTGGCCAATGACTTGAGAATTATGCATCTCCTAAACCAAAGGAACTGTAGAGAATGATATAATTGAGTGAACTTAGTGTTTTGTTGCACTATTGTCTAAACAAAATATCAATCCTGGAATTTAAAATATACTGTGAAACAAGAAGTGTTTAAAAATGTTTCAAAATGTGACTGACAGTGTGTTTAGATGTTTTCAAAGACTTGTGGATTCAAATTAGTGTTTTATTGATGATTTGTTACCCATGATTTGTTAGTAGTTTGTTACCCATGATTTGTTAGTAGTTTGTTTGAGTGATTTGTTAGTAGTTTGTTTGAGTGATTTGTTAGTAGTTTGTTGATGTGGTTTGTTAGTAGTTTGTTGATGTGATTTGTTAGTAGTTTGTTGATGTGGTTAGTTAGTAGTTTGTTGATGTGGTTTGTTAGTAGTTTGTTGATGTGGTTTGTTAGTAGTTTGTTGATGTGATTTGTTAGTAGTTTGTTTGAGTGATTTGTTAGTAGTTTGTTGATGTGGTTTGTTAGTAGTTTGTTGATGTGGTTTGTTAGTAGTTTGTTGATGTGGTTTGTTAGTAGTTTGTTTGAGTGATTTGTTAGTAGTTTGTTTGAGTGATTTGTTAGTAGTTTGTTTGAGTGGTTTGTTAGTAGTTTGTTGATGTGATTTGTTAGTAGTTTGTTTGAGTGATTTGTTAGTAGTTTGTTGATGTGGTTTGTTAGTAGTTTGTTGATGTGGTTTGTTAGTAGTTTGTTTGAGTGATTTGTTAGTAGTTTGTTGATGTGGTTTGTTAGTAGTTTGTTGATGTGGTTTGTTAGTAGTTTGTTTGAGTGATTTGTTAGTAGTTTGTTTGAGTGATTTGTTAGTAGTTTGTTTGAGTGGTTTGTTAGTAGTTTGTTGATGTGATTTGTTAGTAGTTTGTTTGAGTGATTTGTTAGTAGTTTGTTGATGTGGTTTGTTAGTAGTTTGTTTGAGTGGTTTGTTAGTAGTTTGTTGATGTGGTTTGTTAGTAGTTTGTTTGAGTGATTTGTTAGTAGTTTGTTTGAGTGATTTGTTAGTAGTTTGTTTGAGTGGTTTGTTAGTAGTTTGTTGATGTGATTTGTTAGTAGTTTGTTTGAGTGATTTGTTAGTAGTTTGTTGATGTGGTTTGTTAGTAGTTTGTTGATGTGGTTTGTTAGTAGTTTGTTTGAGTGATTTGTTAGTAGTTTGTTGATGTGGTTTGTTAGTAGTTTGTTGATGTGGTTTGTTAGTAGTTTGTTGATGTGATTTGTTAGTAGTTTGTTTGAGTGATTTGTTAGTAGTTTGTTGATGTGGTTTGTTAGTAGTTTGTTGATGTGGTTTGTTAGTAGTTTGTTGATGTGGTTTGTTAGTAGTTTGTTGATGTGGTTTGGTCATGGTTTGTTATAGTAGTTTGTTAGCTCATTTGCATGTGATTTGCTATACTATTAAACTACTTTCAAAACACAGTGGTTTGTTAGTAGTTTGTTATAGTAGTTTGTTTGCCCTTTTTTTCAGTATGGGTTAACCTTTCAGATCTGAAAGTGTGTATAAGTTAATACATACTATATGTGATGTTACCAACTTGAAGGCATGTATTTTATTGACTATATAAGTGCAATATTGGCATACCATTCAAATAATTTAAAATGTACCATATAAAAACCTCTGTCTATGTGTGTTGAGGGTTTATGGAATTATAAACATGTATGTATGGACATGGTAATTCATGCATATAAAGAGAGCTCTATGCTATTTACCGGTATGCAAATTTCAATGAGCTCCAATGTAAATTAAATAGTGATTTACCAGTATGTTGTTTGAGGAAGGCAAATTTAATCTGTGCTTATAAAAGAAGAGACTTGCTACATTAGTGACTGAGTCAGTTAGGGCTTTCAATGATTTTGAAGTAAGATGTGAATTTATCCATTTAAAGAGACTATTTTAGAATTATTTCCAATACTTTGCCAATCCTGAAATCTGAGCAGCAAATTTTGATTACTGAGACAGTGATAAATCACCTATTGCCACCTCTTATTGAAAGCCCTGTCGGCTCCACTGTAAGTCAGCTTCATTTTATTGACTATTTTAGTCTATATTTCTAATGGCATTGCACTTTTCAGTGTGACATATAAATTATGATGTATCATCTGTACAAATAATCTACGAGAAACATGTACTTAGCATATGCATTTCATATAAGAAACTTATTTTTTCAAAAAGAAAACCTTTACACTTACAGAAAAGTGAATAAAATGTGATTGTACAGTAGTTGTTTCTGTGAAAGGGAGCATACTGACCTAGCAGTGATACTTATTGGAGAAATCAGATACATGTTTATACCTGTTGGAGGGGGCACACTGGCTGGGTCCTCTGTTGAATAGTCCTCAGGTGTCAGTAATTTATGTTTCTTTAGAAGTCCAGCATCAATGCATGAACTGAAGGAGGATTTCACTGTAATACAATCACATTGTCATTGTTGCTGTCTCAGTAGATTTCTCATATAAACCATATTTGGGAACATACATGTTCCAATCTCTTAGTTTCCTCAGTTGTTGTACATTACATAATCAAGGAGAATATCTTATTTTTCAAGATTCTGTCTTGCTATATAACGTAACAAAAACACATTCATATATGCCATATAATAAAACTGTTTGTATATACATGTACAAGCTCCACCTGATAATATTTCCATACATAATCTCTTATGGTTTGTGGCTGGATATGATTTTTTTCCAACGAGTTGTGCATTTTCTATCCCTTAACACCACAAATCAATGATAGATTCTTTTTATCACATGTTTTCCACATAGCTATCACATCATTGTACAAGTTGTTTTTATTTGTGCTTTTATATGTGAATACACTTCATTTGACTTTTCAACTGTATGCAACAACCATTATGGCGTCACAACTTTTGATATGAGAATGATATTATATGAGCTATATCAAATGTATACAAGAGGCCCAAGGGCCTTAACGGTCACCTGAGTATAATACAACAATTTAGAGAATCCATAGAGTATAAAATGAACTGAAAGGTGAAGCTTTGTTTCCCAAAAGCAAGAAAAATAGGGTGATCAGGATCAACAAAATAATTAGTCTAGTATTCATTAACAGATCATAAATTAGGTTCTAATCTGTCCCCCATTTAACACTATCACCATACAGTAAATTAACAAACTATCAGTGCTTCTGTACTATCTTAATTCCTTGTTGAAATCTCTCACATTGGCCTCTCTTGGTCTGTGATAAACATTTAATAAGACAAGTTATTTTTGTCTCATTTTTATTTATCTATTACTTACAAGTCTATCTGATCATTAAAACTACGAAAATACTTTTTGTATTATACAATAAAAATTCTTGCATAATTCTCTTATTCTATTAAACTTTCAAGTACATTATTTACAGTGATTAATTATCAAAAGTAAATGGAAAAGGGGAATAACTCCCCTCAGTAGATTACAAATTAATAGAGCCCTAGCCTGGACCAGAACACTTGACCAAATGGTCCAGATGTTCAAAAATCTGGTAAAAATACCCTTCCTTATTAAAACTTTTACTCTTTTTGCCTCTGATATGCCCAGGTGCAGAGAAGATTTTTAAAGAAATAATGCATTTTTACTACAAATTCACTATATTATCAATAGAGCCCCCCCCCCCCCCCCCCCCCCATCGAGAAACACCAGAGCCTCTCACATTTGGACCAGAAGTTTGCTCATCATGAGTAATCACTTTGTTTATCTGCTTAACACTAAGGAGCAAACAGGATTATTTAATAGAATTAATGCATTTTCACTATATTATCAAGAGCCCCAACCTTACACCAGCACATCTGACCCAGGGGTCATGCAATTCACTACTCTGGAAGAAGCACTCTTGCTCATCATAACTATACACTTAGCTTCTTTGCTTTTTAACCAGAAGCAGAAAAGAATATTTTCAGAGAAATTTTGCTTTTTCACTATATACATGTAATCAATAGAGCCCCCCCCCCCTTTTTCACCAGAGTCCTTGACCCTGGTGCCATAAAATTCACAATTTTGGAAGAGGCATCCTTGCGTATCATAACATTGTACTAATAGTTTGTTTAAATAATACCCAGGGGCAGAGAAGAAGATTTTAAGAAATGATTCACCTTCACTATACCAGGATCTATATGGCCCCACCCTAGCACCAGAACCCCTGTCCCTGGGACCATGAATTTCACAATTTTGGAAGAGGCATCCTTGCTTATCATAACAATGTACTTAATTTGTTTAAATAATACCCAGGAGCAGAGAGATTTTTAAAGCATTAATGCATTTTCACTATATAATAAATAGAGCCCCACCCTAACACCTAAACCGCTGATCCAGGGTCCATGAAATTCACAATTTTGGAAGAGGCATCCTTGCTTATCATAACTACATGCATGTATTTAATTTGTTTAAAATAATACCCAGGAGTAGAGAAGAAGATTTTCAAAGAAATAATGCACTTTCACTATATGATCTATATAGCCCCACCCTAGCACCAGAACCCCAGACTTTGGGGCTATGAATTTCACAATTTTGGTAGTCACTCTTCCTTATCATAACTTTATATTTAATTTGTTTCAATAATACCTAGGAGAAGAGAAGATTTTCAAAGAAATAATCCACTTTCACTATATGATTTATATAGCCCCGCTCTAGCACCAGAACCCCTGACCCTGGGACTATGAATTTCACAATTTTGGTAGAGTCACTCTTGCTTATCATAACTATGTATTTAATTTGTTTAAATAATACCCAGGAGTAGAGAAGAAGATTTTTAAAGAAATAATGCACTTTCAATATATGATCTATATAGCCCCGCCCTAGCACCAGAACCCCTGACCCTAGGGCCATGAATTTCAAAATTTTGGTAGAGGGCTCAATGCTTATTACAATCATGTCAACAGTTTGACTGCTTGATGTCCAGGAGTAAAGAAGAAGATTTTTAAAGAATGCATTAATTTTAATGGTTTTAGGCCCACCCCTCAGGCCCCGGGGGGCAGGGAACATGAAATTCACAATTTTTGTCCCCCTTCACCCATAGATGCTATATGCCAAAATTGGTTGAAATTGGTTGAGTGGTTTCAGAGAAGAAGCTGAAAATGTTTAAATGTTAACGCACGACGGACGACGACGGACAAAAACGGATAGCAATGGGTCACCTGAGTGACTCAGGTGACCTAAAAAGAGTAAAATATGATAAATGTAAATACATGTATATTTTTCAATCATAAACTTAATTATGATAAAGAAATTCAAACAATACCAGGTGGAAGACCAAGCTCGCTATAATTATCACAGCTTTTGGACACTCGGTTGAGCTCTCTTTCATCTGCCGACATAGCTCGAGCCTGAGCTTGCATTATATGCCTCTCCAATTGAGCAGCTTCTTCCAATCTCTTTTGCCGTTCATTAAAAACCTGTGATGACAAATTTGAAAATGTCCATTATTTAAGAATCGTTTCCTTGTACCTGTTAAAATAATTAACAAATGTTGTAAAATAATTTTTATTCAATTTCTTGGTATCAATTGTTGTCTCATATAAATCTAATTAATTTGGAACAATAATTAATATCATTAACTACCTTACATAATATTAAATTACCTTCTGTAACTGTTCAACGTATCTCTCATGATATTCATCATCTCCACCTTTTGAGACACTTAGATTTTTTACAGTATCAGGACCAATAGTGTCCCTTGTGTAGAGCTGTCGAAAAGTTTTGGCCAAAATATGTCGTACATCTTGGGATTTTCCTGTAGATGGACGTTGAAGAAACATAGGAGGTTCCTCGCCCACTGCCATAGCTGCTGGGGGCTTCATTATGAGGCAGTCAATTTTGTTTCTTTTTTTTCTCTCTCTGTGCAGAAAAAACAGATACTTTAAAAATCTTTTAATTAGTTTAAAAAATCACAAAAATATAGACCATACATTTGTAGTAGAGTTCCAAAAAGACCCTGAGCTTATAAATTTATTCACTTTCAGTTGTGTTTCCAATATATATTGTACATGTACATTTACCTCTGACGTAGTTTGTACAAATATTTACATACATTATAAATATATTATTATCTATATCACCAGATTTGAGCAATTAATTATTACAATTTTGAGTAACAGAAAATAAAAAAATTAACTGCACGTTTGAATACTGGTAAGCAAAAGTTAGTTAAAGTAAATAAAGAGTATGTGCATTTTATGTGCACATACCCCTATATTATTTTATATTAAATTATTATTAACTTCCAATGGTGGTGCTACATGCAGGTCTGGCACAATTTCATGATTTAGCTATATAGCTTTATTAAGCTATTCAGAATAGCTGATTTAGTTATTTTATCATACTTTTTTCTTAAATTTATTTTTTCAGCATGTACAGAAAGTTGCACCTTGGTGCAGTGATAATATTCAACCTTGAACTATTCTGAAAACAATGCATGTAAAAAATAAATCATTTACCAATTTAAATTGTGTCTCCTTGAGAGACATTGTTCTCAGAGTTGTATAACTTTAAGGGCTATATATATAAAGCAATTGATTTGTGACCATACAGTTACTTCTTGAATGAAATTATAAAGGAGGACAGTTAATTATGATCAACATCAGTGAAGATAATTGATTTGGAATAATTCAGCACAATGAGAAACAATCATACTTATTCAGGTCTCAAAGCACATAAGGTAGTGTAAAGTTACTCAAACGACGAAATTCATCTTTTGCTTAAAAGTATTCAAAAGCTGCAATATTTTAACTATCTTTGATTTAATGGGTTGCTTTTTTTATAAAAGCTAGCCCTTAGTACATATATGAATATTTGTGACTTTTTGTCTATTTTTTACCAAAAACATTTTTGTGAAAAACTGCATATAAATAGCTTTATCAAGCTATTTTGAAAAGCTTAATAAAGCTATACAGCTAAATCGAGCTGTATAGCTAAATCAAGAGGACATGTACATGTTTGCATGTATGATTAGATTAGAACGTTGTCAGATATTATCCTATGGACCTGGTTTAACAACTGCGGTGAGGGTTTGTCCTGAGACTGATTATTCTAACTATAGATCATTGTTTGATTTAAACGTAAAAAGTTGAAACTTGCAAAGATATTAACAGTAATTAATATAACTGCTTTACTGTTCTTGGTACAAAATGTTGATGCATGTGCATGAATTATCTTCTTTAAATATATATACATATACAAATATATATATATATATATATATATATATATATATATATATATATATATATATAGATATAGATAGATAGATAGATAGATAGATAGATAGATAGATAGATAGATTTTTTTTTTTTTTTTTTTTTTTTGGAAGGTCAGGTACCCTATGGTGTCATAACAGTATTTCACATGAACCTGTCATAACAGTATTTCACTTGAGGTTCACGTCAAATCATGGCTGACACAAAATAATTCCTGAATCTTCCCTTCCGATTCGGGCATTTTAACACGAGATTGGAGCTGAATTTTTTTATGAGATGAAAAACAATATGTAAACTTCCTATATTGACTAGATTCATTAAAATTTAGGGCATGCTGAATTTTCTATATACTGTATTTGAGTGGGAAGTGATTAGGTCCTGGACTTGATTTTCAAGCACCTGCTCGACTTCGAGCGAGACAAACTTGCGTGCCTTGCTGGATGGCTATGTATTTTTGGTACTAAAAATTATCTTTAGAAAGAATTGTTTTACAAGATCTGAAAAGGAAACTTCTCAAAAGTTTGTTTTCAATTAATACCACCTACTCAAAGTTGCTCATTTTTGGTAAGAATATATAGCAAAATTTAATACTGTTGTGCAACCTATGGTCTGACTACTTAGATAGAGGAAATTCGAACATTTTAAAATAATTTTGCCATTTATTACGCCCATTAAATGTACCTTTTGCCCCGTAAATTTATTAATTTTTTGTACATTTTTTATACGTTGTATATCTATAATTTTTTTAAAAGAATCTGCTTACAGTATAAATAATGTTTGTCCACTTTCGTAATCTATTTACCTTTTCCAACTCCGTTTGTTGCTAACGGGAATGTTTATACCTCCTGTACAGAAGAGTTCCTCTCCAAGATGACGGGCTTTAAGATTAACTAATAACTTGATAACTATTGGAGCGTGGTCCTATTTATAAACGAATGTTTAAAGATAAAGGCGAACAGTGCGTATTCATAACATTATTTACTAGAAGTGAAACCCCGATTGTACATACATACATGTATTGCTCTAAAAATGTTAATCATCAAACGTAGTATAAAAGGGAGATTAATCTATTGTTTACATGGCATATATATATTATTATAATCAATATTTTCATTTTATATGTTACTGTGCAGGTAAGGGTACCGTCAGAAAATTATGTACGATTTGAACAAAGAACCATGAGAAATGTCAGCTTGACGAAAGCAGAAAAGAGATATCAACAAATCATTCAGAACGTTGTACGTTGTACATGCATTTTGTAAGTTTCTTTATTTAACAAAATAACTAAAGAGAAACCTGTGGTAGGGCATATCTCCAGTGGAAATACCATGTTGACAATACCTAGAGTATTTTTTTTTTTTTACTATCAAGGTAAATTGGAACAAATAATTCAAAATAACATTAACAAATATATGATTTATATATAAATTATATGTTGAATAGTGATGTATAGCAATTTTTCTTTTAATTTCTTTCAGGTAATATCTGCTAAAAAGACTAAATGAACGAATAAACAAGCACCATCATAATATTACCATAGACAAAAACAGACTGAGAGCACAAAGGTCAGAGGTTACCATGGAGATTGTGGATCTGCCAGAGGAGATGCTACTTCTGATATTCTCCTATATCCCTCTCTACAATCTGTTCTTCTCTGTTCAGAAGACTTGTCTGGCTTGGAGAAATCTCTGTTTCCACCACAGTTTGTGGACAACAGTCCATTATAGCAAGCAAATTGATGACAAGTTATCAAAGGAGGAATTGCATTTAGTTCTGAAGTATGTTGCTAGGGGACTGCAGCATCTAGTTTTTGAGAAACCATTTCAACTCAAAGAAATGGATTTTAACTTTCATAAAATACTCCAATGTATTCTACATGAAGATATAGATTTGACAAATATTTCAACACTAAAGATTCCTTCTATCCCAAAAATGTATCTTGAACCATTGGTAGAAAAGTGTTCTAATTTGTCCTCGGTTGAGGTAAGCTATTATTATGCTTACTACAACAATGGGGATTTCTTTGAAAATATGAAAAAACTTCCTCATCTAAAAATATTTAAAATAACAGAAAGTTCAAAATCAGCAGAAGCCATTGTAGAGCCAGCTCATCACCTGCAGGCCACATTTAATGCCTTCTTGTCAGATATGTTTTGTACTCTGACAGTTTTAGAAACAGTTCATATTGCTAGTGTGAACAAATTGATGGACTCAACACTACAAGCTCTTCTGAAAAACTGTAGAAATCTGAAGGAATTGGCCCTGTATGGCTGTGATAGTATATCTAATGCTGGGTTTAAGGCTTTATCAGAGAAGTCAGGGATAACTTCTCTTCACCTGAATTCTACAAGTGTCACCGACAAGGGCATGGAACACATCTGCAGATGCTGTCATAATCTGCAAAGTGTGTCATTTGCAGGTTGTATGTATGTCACAGATGTGTCCATCAAACACTTATGTACACATTGTCCAAACCTTGAATCTCTGTGTGTCGCTGATCCTGAAATCTTTTATCACAAGTCTAACATTACAGATGGTGGACTGGACTATCTGTCACAATATACAGGAGCCCTACAATCTCTAACAATGTGCAACAGTGCTCAGATCTCAGACCTGGGACTAGACCAGTTAGCTAGAAGCTGTAGTAAACTCACACATTTAGATGTGTCTGGCTGTCTGTCTGTCACAGATAGCACACTACAAGTTCTAGCGCAACACTGTACATTCCTTCAGAATGTGAACTTCAGTGAGTGTGTTCATCTGACAGGGAAAGGAATTAATCCACTCGTTGTGTCTTGCAGATGGTTACAAACCCTCAATGTGGCTAATTGTCCGTTTGTGGAAAATCTTGATTTTGAAGCTTTTGACCTAATGGAATCTCCATATGAGAGGTAATGATTGCTGTACACAGAGCTTTTAACAATTTATGTAAATACTTACATATTGACAGAGTTGCTTTTTTTTCAGAAAAATCTTTTGTTTACTTATTTAATTCAAGGTAAGTTTTAACAAATCAGGGCTCTTGATTTTCTATAATTTGGGTTGTTCAGGGACCCCATTCCAAATTCCAAAAAAGGTATCTTTATATTCCCAATTGATTGTGTTAATTTTCCAATCATCATTTCTCCCAAAAATTAAAGAAAATATAGTTGGATACATAGTAAATAAACTTGCTATTCCTATTTGTCTGTATTTTAGAACAAAAATTTAGTTGATAACAAAGACCAGAAACCCAATTATATATCATCATTTTTAAGTATAATGGTCATCCAAAAATTTCACAAAAGGTCACTTAATTTTCCCAATCTTTATGGCCCTGCCCCATTCCCAAAAAGTTGTGTGAAAGCCTTGGAAATTCAATTTATGAAGATCTGTTACAAACATACATATACTAACAATATTCTTAAAAGATAACTAACGATCCCCAGTCAATCCATAAATTTTCTTCTTTCCTGTTGCACATGATCCATTTTAAATTTTCATCTTTTTCTAAAATATGAGAATAGAAAATGCAGATCACAAAAATCTTTAATTTTGTTGGTCCCATTTGGCATTCAAAATGCATTCTCCATATACATGTACTCTTTTAATTACAGCAGCATAGTGTATACATACATCTAATAGATTTATTTGTTTACAACATTAATTTTATGAACCTCTTTTATCAAGAATGGGTAATTGGTCAATTTAGTAGTTAAGAAACTCAGAATGATTTGGTTAATATTTCAACCCCCCAAAAAATTGCTAAATATTAAATTCGATATTTGTTGAAAACTACTTTATCTAACCTGCTTTTTTTTTATTTCTAGATATTTCAAAGAGCGTGACAAATTGTTAATTTCTTGTGGGACATTGGAAATGCTTGAGAACAATTTACAGAACTGTGACAAAATACAGCAGGAGGTGGAATTTTCACCACCAAGAAAAAATCAAGCCAGATTAAACTTTTTAAATACTTTGTCTTCATCAGTTCCTGAGCCAAAAATCCATTCAGAGTTACGATTCTTGAATATTGGATTATGCTCTAAGATTACAAACCAGTGTCTTCGGCAGATAGCTACCTACTGCCCTGACCTTAGGAGCCTGGATATCAATGGCTGCTTCAACACTTCAGACCTTGGAATATCCTACATTGTCAAAGGCTGCCAGAGTCTAGAAATCCTGAACCTCTCTAGTGGCTCAATGATACAGAAAATGTGTCAGACAGACCAATCCCTGGAATTAATAGCCACACATTGCAAGTGTCTCCGAAGACTCCACATAGAAAAAAATCCCCTCATGTCCCTGGAGGGGTACAAGAATCTCTTCAATAATTGTCCTCTCCCCTTTACTGTGTCCCTGACAACCAAATCTCCAGAGATCTTAAGGAGTGACCTCTTGTCAGTAGACAGCTCTAACAAGACGAAAAGGATCAATGTGTTCAGTAAGGGCTGTTTTAAAGGCAATCTTCATCAGTTAGATGTCCTTCTGTACAACTCAGATGGGAATATCCTAGAGTGAAAAATACATGAACATTTGTGTGCAAACATAAAAATAACCTCTTGTTAATCTGTTGTCCTATTCGTAAACTCATTTGTACTGTTATTTTTGTAATGAAATGTTCTGTTAAATTTTCATGTAGTCAGACTTTCTTTTCTTGTTTTTTGTTTCTGTTTGAAAAATGTCTGATGTCAATCACTGAATCTGTCATTATAAAACATTCACAATTTCAACTTCTTTGGAACCACTGCAGAGCAAATTTCAACAAAATTTGAAATAAAGTGTCCTTGGGAGAAAAGGATTCAAGTTTGCTCAAAAGAAGAGACTGCCATTTTATCAATAAACAGTGTCTGTCTTTCCAACTGTCAACAATTTTTCAAAATGCTACTCCATCCACAGTTTGGTCCGATTTCATTAAGACTTAATTGGTACACACGTAAACTATACTAATATATATAATTCTATTTATTATCTAATATCTAATAAATAGGCTATAATAAGCCAGAAGTCTCTGACAAGACTAGAATAAAGATCAACCATGACCTTTCAGCTATTGGCCTTAAAGCCAAAAGGAGTCTTTTTAAAGTTAAAGAACTTTAAGGCCAAAAGTTTCATTGCAAACTAAAATTATTAACTGAAAACTTAACATGTATGAAATATATATTTCTGACCTTGACCTTTGCCTTTTTGACCTCCAAATTAACATGGTTTTTAAAGGCCCTGGTAAGTTGATTTAAAATTTTGTTTCAAAAGTCTTTTTATGATATAGTTAGAAAAAAAAGTCTGACACAGACAGAATGTATGAATTTATGACCTTGACCTTGGGGTTCTTCTTTAGGCCATAATAAGTTGTGATTCTAAATTTTATCGAAGAGAGCTCAAATTAAATTTTAGTTTTAATCTGGTTTTCATCTGGAAAATGTTATTTGCAATGTATGAATTTATGAACTTTGACCTTTTCAGCTCAAAATCAAATGAGGGTCTTCTTTCGGCCATAAGGATTTGTGATATAAAATTTTATTGCAAATGCTCAAAGGCTTATCGTGCAGAAACGAAAGTGTTACGCAGAAAGAAAATGCATGAATTTATGACCTTGGTCTCTGACATTTTGACCTCAAAATCGATAGGGTCTTGTTTATGTCATAGGGAGTTTTCATATTAAATTTTGTTGAAGAAAGCTCCAAGAAAATCAAATTTATCATCTAGAAAATGTTATCTCTAATGTATGAATTTTTGACCTCTTGACCTCAAAATCAATAGGCCGTAGGGAGTTGTGATATAGAATTTCACTGCAAAAGCTCAAAGGCTTCCGGAAACGAAAGTATTACACGCAGACAGAATGCATGAATTAATGACCTTGACCTTTGAGCTTTGGAGTTGTAAAATAAATTACATTTCAAAGGCTCAGAGAGTTCTTGCGATACTTGAAATTTAAAATTAACACGACAAAAGGGAAACAATTATTTATAATATTTCAAATTTTGCGTGTTTTCTTTAATAAATTTTTAGACAATCGACAAATTTTGACTGACATGTAAGACTTAAACTGCTTCATGATCCTTGGGTCTGGAATGCAACTATGACGTCATCACACACACACACACACACACATATAATATTATATATATATATATATATATATATATATATATATATATATATATATATATATATATATATATATATTATGAGAAAGGATGGTTGTTTGAAAAATGACCTTCACTAGTAAGCATCATACAGAAATTGGGAATTTATTTTATCTTTTAAATTCTACTTCTATATTATATGGCTGGTGAAAATGGTGTATGTATGAAGCACTATTTACTTAAATGCAGACATCAACAAACAGAATGTACCCTTATTAAGGATCATAAGAGGATTAAACCCAAACATCTGTGGAAAGAATTCAGTGTAAAATAACAGTTTGAACAACCTCAATGCTATGTTCATCCGGAATGATTGATGGGTCTTTTCTTTTTTATGGATTCAAAAGGCAAATTGATGCAAGTTCAATGAATTCCACAAACTATCTGAACACGTTAGAAAACATTCCAACTTTGATAAGAAAGGACTGCATGGATTTGAACCTGGGATGGTTCAAACAAGATGGCACCATCTTTCATACTGAAGAGTTGTGTTCGAATATATCAATGCAACAAACAGTTAATGGACACTTTATTTCGTTTTGCAAAAATCCAGAGTGATCAACACATTCCATTAAGACTTTGAAATAAATCATTCTTTCAAATCAAAAGTGAATGGGCAAATAAGGTGTGCAAAATGCCTATAACTTTAAGTGTATAAAATCAATTTTTAAAAGAATCTCCCCTTTGAAGGGAAGACATAATTTATGATGAAATTATTCCGAACAAAGTTTTTTTTAATTGAAAGATGTGAAATTATGAAAAATTTAACTTTTCTGTAGAAGCCTTTCTCGACAAAAATTAATTTATGGTTAAAAAATATTGCAGTTTTCTTGGAGTTTGAACCCGACCAATAAAAGTCTTGAATACCAGCTTTTTTCAGTGATTGACATTTTTTTCCAGAATCTTTTGTTTTTATTTGACTGACACATTAACCACTACCCCATACAGAAATAACAGATCTTAGCATTTAAATCTTTTTTGTGACATGACCATTGAGTAAATGGACTTCAAATATTTCTCGGTAGGATGCAAATGTGGCATTAAAGTGTATTTTACGGTATTTTGGGCCCTTGCTCCATGTTTCTGTCAATCGAAAACTTTTACTTTAAAAAAAAATGGAGCAAAGACCCATACGGGAATACTGTGTTATAGTTGAAAAAATGATTATTTGTTTTTCTTTGGTGTATGCATGCTATAATAATGAATAATTTCAATACTTGTGAGATTGTTTCAAAATCTGGAGAGTTTCTGTAACTTAAAGCAAACAAAATTAAACGAAAGCTTCAAAAACATTCTGCTAAAATCGAATTTTATTTCTTATTTTCATACATATGTTGTGCCACAGGCCTTTTGCTCGACTTATTAACCCATCCTCTAATGTAATGAATAAATTCATTTAATTAAAAATGTCTTTTTAATTTTTTATTGTCTGATTTATAAAGTTTGAAGTTTGGGGGCAATTTTAAACGCCCTTGTATTTAAAAATGACATACAGTATAATCTAACGAAGAATTTCACACAAATTGTAGAATCACTACATGGTATCATTATGCGGTGTACTGAAGTCCGTGTGGTTTCTGGGAGATGGGTGTAAAAGAGATGGTCTTTTTGGTCTCCTTTTCATCCTCCTCCTCCTCCTCCACAAAGCGGTAATCGTCTTTACTTCTGATGCAGCAGAACCACCCCAAACAAATTAATGTCATCAATACAGCGAAAGTGGAGAATCCGATACACAGACCAATGGCCCCAAATCTGGCTGGAGGTACTGATTCGTCAAATGTCTGTATACGACATATGAAATTTATAAACAAAAATCATTTAATTTGTATAAAATAAAATGAAAATACTTATTTGTATTATGCGTCTTTTACAATAAAGTGAAGCATTTACACGCAGGTCTTAACTTTGGTCACCTTGCCATTTGCTCCTATCGCCTTTCCATCAGCGCTATACTCCACAAACCACCATGGTTTGGTGGTGGTCACCAGTTGAGTGGTAGAAGTGGTAGGTGCCTGGGTAGTGGTTGTGGTGGTAGGAGTTGGTGTAGAGGTAGTGGTTGTAGTGGTAGGAGTTGGTGTAGTGGTAGTGGTGGTAGTTGTAGTGGTAGTGGTGGTGACGGGTGTAAAATGGACTAAAAATATTTTTATTTACATTAGCACATCTTCATTTAGATTAATAAACCGAAAGAGTGCAGTGTAAAAATAATGTTTACTTTATTTAAAATAACGGGATGCCCTTGAACTAGTGTCATTTATAATACATTCAGCCTATCAATTTTATTTTTATACCAGTTATGTGACACATAGCTGATATACGCGACATAACTGGTACTATTAGTACCACACAAATATATTCATTATCGCTTTATGAATTTTATTTTGATATCACAAACGCTAACCGCTGTGTAACCTAATATTTAAATTAAAATCACACTCATATTAATTGACAAGTGTAAGGATAGTAGCTGCTGGAATGACTCTTTTATGAATCGTAACTTACCCAAAGGATTTTACAGGGATTTTGTAAATATAAATTATCACATTTGCAGATAACGCGCGTTACTCAATTTGCACAAACCGTTGCAGTTATGAGACTAAATCCTTAAAAAATAAATTCTAGATCTACACAAGAAACACAAGCTTTAGACATTTTGTCGGATGTCAAAATATCAATTTTATTTGAGACATTTTCATTTATCAAGGATCTTATCCACAAGCAATTCATGCACTAAAAATCTCTTGGCAAACTAACCTTGACAAAGGAAATTATAACTGGTAGAGCATCTCCAGTCCGCCCACCTGAAGACTCCCCCTCCATCTGAGGCCAATCGGATACAGAAATCGGTGTTTGGGTTATTAGGTTCAGAAGATCTCCAGGGATAGCTATTATAACCGATTCCGTACACGCCTGACGTAATCACCGTACCATCCTCATAAACGTACTGTCCTCCTGATAGCGACAAACCGAACCACACATCGTTAACTGACCTAAAACAAAAAACCGAAACACACATCGTTAACTGATCTAAAACAAAAAACGAAACACACATCGTTAACTGACCTAAAACAAACAAGAGGCCCATGGGCCACAACGCTCACCTGAGTAACTTTGGCCCTACTGTTCTTCACCAGATTTTTCCCTTGTTATACGTATTGTGGCCCCACCCTATCCCCGGGGGTCATGATTTGAACAATTTAGAACATACACTACCCCAGAATGCTTCCATGTAAGTTTCAGCTTTTCTGACCCTGTGGTTCTTGAGAAGAAGATTTTTAAAGATTTTTCCTATATATTTCAATGTAAAACTTTGAATCCCCATTGTGGCCCCACCCTACCCCTGGGGTCATGATTTGAACAATTTAGAATCTAAACTACCCCAGAATGCTTCCATGTAAGTTTAAAGGTCTTACGCAAGGAAATAGCCAATCAAAATGAACTACAAGTCAATTGTACATGTAGTTCTATATATAGAGAGAGACAATATCTTTTTCTTTTTTCATTTTCGGCAACTTTTTTTTTAGGTCTACAGTTTTAATTTTGGACTCATGTACTAGGAATATCATATTTTTAGCAGAATTGTGCCACTGAATTAAAGGGAACTCTTTTTTTAGATGCGCTTCCTGGATGGTGTGTAGGCTGTTTGTCAACATGTGAAACCCACGTATATTTCAGGGTAGGTATGTTTACACTCAATTTTCTTTCTTAAAAGCCGTATAAGACGTATTTTTTCTGATCTTAAATTTTTGTCTCAGCATTAATCTTTATTTTCTCTTTCATGAATTATCTGCTGAGAGCCTTATTGATTAATTAATTTAATTAAAGCTACATAGTAACATATAGTGAAATTATTTCCTTGTGTGAGACCTTTAGCTTTTCTAGCCCATGTGGTTCTTAAGAAGAAGATTTTAAAAGATTTTTCCTATATATTTCAATGTAAAACTTTGATTCCCCATTGAGGCCCCACCCTACCCCTGGGGTCATGATTTAAAGAATTTAGAATCTACACTACCCCAGAATGCTTCCATGTAAGTTTCAGCTTTTCTGGCCCAGTGGTTCTTGAGAAGAAGATTTTTAAAGATTTTTCTTATATATTTCAATGTAAAACTTTGACTCCCCATTGTGGCCCCACCCTACCCCCGGGGGTCATAATTTGAAGAATTTATAGAATCTACACCACCCCCGGATGTTTCCATGTAAGTTTCAGCTTTTCTGGCCCAGTGGTTCTTGAGAAGAAGATTTATTTATGACCCCACCCTATTTTTGTCTTTTCTCGATTACCTCCTGTTAGGGGGCTTGATCATTCATTTTAATAATTTAAACTCCCCCCAAACTTTTCCCAAGGATGCTTTGTACCAACATTGGTCAAAATTGGCCCAGTGGTTCTTGAGAAGAAGTTTAAAATGTGAAAAGTTTACAGACGGACGGACGGACGACGGACAACAGGTGATCAGAAAAGCTCACTTGAGCTTTCAGCTCAGGTGAGCTAAAACCGAACCACACATCATTAATTGACCTAGAACAAAAAACCGAACCACACATCGTTAATTGACATAGAACAATAACAAAGCACTCATCGAACCACATATTGTGAACTGACTAAGAACAAAAACCGAACCACACATCGTTATTAAACTGACCTATAACAGAAACCAAACCACATATCGTTAATTGACATAGAACAAAAAACAAAGCACACATCGAACCACATATTGTGAACTGATCTCTAGAACAAAAAAAAAGCACCACACATCACATCGTTTAAAACCTAGAACAAAAAGGAGCCACGCATCGTTAACTCACTAGAACACACACACCCTCTCTCTCTCTCTCTCTCTCTCTCTCTCTCTCTCTCTCTCTCTCACACACACACCAAGAATACATCGTTAAAAATAAACTACACGTCGTTCACTGACCTAGAAAAAAAATCAAACTACACATCATTTTCTGACCTAGAACAAAACTCTGAACCCCACATCGTTAACCGAATTGGAATTAAAAAATCTAACCACATATTATTAACTGAAAACCCAACCACGCATCGTCAACTGACATAGTAAAAACAAGAGGCCCATGGGCCACATCGCTCACTGAGCACGGTGGCTAGGAAAAAAAAGCAGAAATTAGTTCAGTATTAAAAAGTATAAGTGCATAGGTGGCCCTGACCTACCCCTAAAAAGGGTGGGTATGATTTGAACAAACTTGAATCTACACTATAGCTAAGGATGCTTACACAATTCTTTGCCGAACTGTGGCTTTTTCCTACAAGTTTGAACTTTCATTGTGGTACCACCCTATCCCTAGGGGTCAGGATTGGAACAAATCTGAATCTACACTACCTGAGGATGCTTCCATATACATGTAATTAATCATGGCTTTGGTGTTCTTGAGAAGATTTTTAAAAAAAATTCATATGTATTCCAATGTATAACTTTGCTCATCCATTGTGGCCCCACCCTACCCCCAGGGATTATGATTTGAACAAATCTGAATCTACACTACCTGAGGATATTTCCATATAAATATGACCAATCATGGCTTGGTTGTTCTTGAGAAGAAGACTTTTAAAGATTTAAAAAAAAAAGATCCATCATACTAAATGGGAAAAAATATATGGTCAAGAATTAAGGGGAAATCCACGAAAATGTACTTAAAATCACTTATTTTCTAGGGGTCAAAGTTTAAGTCAATTTCATGGTTTGAGGGAAAAATATGGCATGGTTTGTGGGGATCTAATTTCGTGGTTGAAAGGCAAACACAATTTAATTAAGGAGGACATGAATTCATGGGTCCCTTCTTAGCACAAAAACAACGGAAATTAAACCCCATGAAAATTGGTGATTTCATAGTTTTTTTAAGATACAAAGATCATGGTGAACGTATCATATGATCTGCAGATCTTAAAAAGACTCTACCCCGAGTTTTGTTGTACATTGATGTATTTGATGGCCGCTTCATTTATCTCAGCAGATGTTATGGAGGCCAGTTTCATTCCCATTCCTTCACACGTGGATTTAGCAGCTGACCACCCACTAATGGTCGCAGGATTCATGTGGAAACCTGTAAAATAACAAACGGCAACATGTAAAGTTAAGCATTTAATTTGCAAAATTTCCAACAAAATTACCTATTTTCAAGATAGAAATCAATTTTAAATGTTAACGACATTTCTCATAAGGCACAAAAAAAAATTAAAATTGCTTCTACTATATTCACAATATAATTTGCGTTCATGTGAGCAATTTATAACTAAAATCTTTGTACGATTTTTATTGTCGTTTAGACTATTAAAAATATCCTTTGGACAATTTTTTATGATCATTTCAGTTAACTGATTTTTGAACTCGTCTGTACAATTTAGAATACCATCTGTATAATTTTCTATCGTTTGTACTAATCTAAAAAAAATTCTTACTATCTAATTATAAATTGCTTATACAATTTAAAACGATTATGCAATTTAAAATCGCTTATATAATGTAGAAATTTACGGAAGCGTATTGCTGCCAATTGAAAATATTTTTTTTCTAAGTCGTACGTACAAGATAATATGTTGAACGTACGAGATACTAAGTCGTACGTGCGATATATTACGTCGTACGTACGAGATAATATGTCGTAGGTACGAGACGTACGACATAATATCTCGTACGTACGAGATACTATGTCGTACGTACGAGATAATAATAAGTCGTACGTACGAGATATTTTGTCGTACGTTCGAGATACTAAGTCGTATGTACGAGATACTAAGTCGTACGTACGACATACTAAGTCGTACGTACGACATACTTAGTCGTACGACATAGTAAGTCGTATGTACAACGTACTATGTCGTACCTACGAGATAATATGTCGTACGTACAACATACTAAGTCGTACGTACGAGATATGTAGTTATCAAGATTTTTTGAAGGATAGCATGATGCATTAAAAGTACACAAGTCAAATAAGCAAAAATTACGGAAGCGTATTGCTGCCAATTGAAAAAAATTATTCTAAGTCGTACGTACGAGATACTAAGTCGTACGTACGAGATACTAAGTCGTACGTTCGAGATACTATGTTGTACGTACGAGATACTAAGTCCTACGTACGAGATAATAAGTCCTACGTACGAGATAACAAGAAGTCGTACGTACGAGAAAATATATTGTACATACGAGATAATAAGTCGTACGTACGAGATAACAATAAGTCGTATGTACGAGATAATATGTTGTACGTTCGAGATAATAAGTAGTTATCAAGATTTGTTTATAATTTTATGAAGTATCAAGTATGGAGGGCGTGCAAACAGTTGTCGTGCTTGTGAAGTTTATTCTTATGTTAGGATTTTACCACAACGAAATGATTTTCCAGGAAAATCCCCTTTAAAAATCAATGCTTCATTGTCAAGTTATTTTTTACAATATATATTTCTAAATATTTCAGATTGGAATTTAGAACCTAAATGTCATCAAAGAAATTTTATGATTAACCTTCAAAGTTTATTAAAAGAGGATATTCACGGTAAAAAAGTCTATTTTTGCATAAATGTTGACTTAGAAGTCCGATCCAAAGTAGCCCCCCCCAAAAAAAAAATATTTTGGTAGGTTTTGATCTAAGGAATATTTAGGAATAAAACTTTTCAGGGGTACCGATGGGGTTGAAATGTACAAAAAAAAAAAAAAAAAAAAAAAAAAAAAAACTCGAAAATGCAAAATCATATTTCTGTAATTGTGGTTTGTATTTATGTCTAATGTCGTTTAAATTAGAAAACCTCGGATGGTTTGAGACTGACATTCAACATTTTTATAGTGGCCTGGTTCGAATCACCTGATGGCACACGTTTACTTTTATAAAAATAGTTTGTGTATTTCACAGGAGTCGCACACACACGCACGCTCCCTCCCTCCCCCCCCCCCCCCAAAAAAAATGCGTGAATGACATATAGTTGATCCTATACATCTAAACTCGGAAAAGTTTCCTAACAGATCGCAGAACTAATCGATGATATGAGGGACAGAATATCGTCAAGATTTGATTTTAAGAAGAGTATAAATCTTTTAAAAGAAGATAACTTTTCTAAGAGGTGTTACGTATATGATCAGATTGAAGATCTGGGGGGCCGTAACAGAAAGCATGCTATTAAGATTTCAATTGACTTAAAGCAGGGTCACAAGTCTAAAATATAAATTATGAAATTTTTCTTTATCAAATAAATAAGCTGTCAACTATTATTTGATAAAGAAAAATTTCATATATTTTAATTTTTTATCATTTTTCTTTATCTTTATATGGAACTCTTTTTCATCTAAAGGAGAACAATATAGTCTAAAAATGGCCACGACCCCCCCAGCCCTCTTAAGAGGAGTTGCGCTTACAAACTGTTCATCTCTATATTCAAAATATGGCCAAAATTAAAGTTCAAAAGGGCCGAAATTCCCAGAAAAATAAAGAAATTAGAATTTCTTGGTAATATGCACATCTATACATTATGTACTGAAATTCTATGCAGCGGTTTAAGAAGAGTTGTGCTTATAAAAAATTTAAAATAAAAAATAAATAAATAAAGAGGACTGACGGACTAATGACGGGTCAAAAACATTATACCACTCGCAACTTGTTGTTATAAAAGTAATTTATAATTTCTCTCTGCATTTAAACACTGTTTCTAGACGATATCCTAAATAGCCCTTTATACTCTTAATAATACCATTTTCAGCTCGAATTAATAAGGCTTTGAAAATAGGCAAATTCACATGTCAATACATGTATACCTTATTGAATAAAATCGTTAACCTTCCTATTCTATAATTTGTGAATTGTAACAAAATAATAGTTTTAAAAGATAAATATAAAATAAACTAAATAAAATCCCGAGTTCGAATCCTGCAGAGGAATCTGTATAAAATGAATGCGATTTTTAAAAATCGCACTTTTACCTAAAAAATTGTTTAATTTTGCTTATTTGACTTGCGTACTTTTTATGCATCATGCTATCGTTCAACAAATCTTGATAACTACATACAGTATTATCTAGTACGTACGACATATTATCTTGTACGTACGACTTAGTATCTCGTACGTACGATTTAGTATCTCGTACGTACGACTTAGTATCTCGTACGTACGACTTAGTATCTCGTACGTGCAACATAATATATCGTACGTACGACTTATTATTATCTCGTACTTACGACCTAGTATCTCGTACGTACGACTTAGTATCTCGTACGTACGACTTAGTATCTCGTACGTACGACTTAGTATCTTATACGTACGACATAATATCTCGTACGTACGACTTAGTATCTCGTACGTACGACTTAGTATCTCGTACGTGCGACTTAGTATCTCGTACGTACGACTTACTATCTCGTACGTACGACTTAGTATCTCGTACGTACGACTTAGTATCTTGTACGTACGACATAATATCTCGTACGTACGACATAGAAAAAAAATATTTTCAATTGGCAGCAATACGCTTCCGTAGAAATTTGGTTGTACGATAATTGAAATAATTTTTATTTTTTCGAAAATTGTAGGATTTTAAAAAAATGTGTGAACGATCTTAAAATGTTTTATGATATTTCGAAATCATGTGGTTGATTTAAAAATCTATGAACACCATAAATTAACCAAGAGGTCCAGGGGCCACATCGCCCACCTGAGCAGTATGGCTTAAAAAAGTTTAAATATAAAAGTGGGGGGGGGGGGGGGAGGGGGAGATGTCATGAATTTGAATGTACATTACCTGAGGATGCTTCCATGTAAAAATGACCAATCATGGCTTTGCTGTTCTTGAGAAGAAGATTT